GTTCCGAGGCGGGGCGCTGAAAAGTGTGACTGTGTGAGAGAAAGCACATAACCCCGACTTCTGGCTCCACAACGCAAGCCAGGCAAGAAGGTTAAAGTGAAGGTTCTCCAAAGTGTAGCTTCAGTTCCCGGCTTACACACCTGACTGCAGAAACAGACACCAGGCACTTCCGTGTTCCACTATCCACTAATGGGCCAAACCTGACTTCCCCCAGATCCATTCCTATCCCTCGCTCCCGCCACACCAGCCATCGGACATTACGTGTGAGGAGAGGGGGTTGCAGGTAAAAAGTTGGCTGAAGGAGGCCTTCACTGCAAGCTCCTCTTCACAATCGCAACTCGTCTCAATAAATCGTCCTGGCTCTCTGCCACCGGAGGCTGCTCCCTTCACATCACATGGCTCAGGAAGTGCTAGCTATATGTTCATACCATTTGGTGAAAACAAAAAATGCAGAACCAACAACACGAGCATTGTGCTTTTAAAAATACTGCTCAACCTATTTGCATGAAACACACAAAATGCACCTTCCTGTGAAGGGCCAGCATTATTCAGGCAGGAGCCAAACTGAAGGGCTGGCGCTAGCCCCTTAATGCTGCCCCGGAGGTCACTTGTCTTCTGGCTGTCTTCTTTTAAGGTACAATAAAGAACTAAAGAGCGACACGGGACAGGAAAATCTCAAAATCAGGTCTCTAAGCACCATCCAACAGGGAGGATGGCCGTCATATATGGGCAGATGTGCCAAGAGTCCCCACACAGCTTTGGTGACCTCAGTGACCAGTGCGAAATGTCCACTCACTGTAGACATGTGCATGGATGGCCCTGTATCTCTACCTCCAAAAAGGCACGCAGGGCCAGATTCATGCAAGTTTCTGGTTTTTCAATGCATTATCTATGGGAGCTCATAAGCCCCAAGTAATTTTTGAAGAAATTTAAACACCGATTGATAAGGGATCTGCAGAAGTTCATGTGGGAAATTAACACGTCTGGTACCTTTGGGAGCCTTGGGCCTGGACAAACTACCTGTGTAGTGGATTCACCCAGTGTTGCCCAAACATGACTCTGAGAGCAAGGCAGGTCAGAAGTCTCCACAGTGAGGCGGCAACTGTTTCCTCCTTTACATTAAACACATCCTTCCTTGAAGTTTCTTACAGATTACTAAGATAAAAGCAGAAGGGAGACCCTGAAAAGGACCCAGAATTTGTGCAGACCCTCCTGATCTTGGCTCAAGTTTAATGCTCTTTTAACAGCGGTGGCCAGACATGTACCGGGCCTGAGGTTCCTTCCTGAGCAATGCAAGAAAGGCTCACAAGCATATGCGACCCCTCCCCTCTGACCCACAGGTACCACACACCACAGCTTCTGTTCTCAGCGCTCATGGCCTCTTCCAGATTCTGTGCACACGGACATTCTAGGTCTCTGCTTGGGCCCAGCTTCAGCACGGCGCTGGCCTTTGCTCTTTTGGAAGGATAGACGGGATCATGCTCAGGTGAACAGTTACGAGTGTTGAAATCAACTAAATGCCATCTATTACTTACCGGAATGCAGACAGAAACTGCAGTCCCTGCTGAAGGGCTGATCATTTGATGGATGTCTTCTAGAGCCAGGGTTCATATTCAGTACTTGACTCTGGGAAAATTTGGTCAGTACAAGACATGGTGCTTGGGGCATCTCAATGCCAAAGTCAGGCAGAAGAGAATTGCCCAAGTGTCATCATCTCATCCAAGCTTTCCACGAACAGAGTCAAAGCGTGTCCTGAAACTACCCCTCGTGCAAAGACCCAGCCCGACGTGGCCAAGCAGGATGAAGCCTGCTGTCTTTAGGGACTCTGCTGTGTATGTCCCATGGCAGGAACATGGAGTCAAACTGTGAGCAGTCACCTGCCACATTTGACATTTGGAAGATTTTCTTTTTAAAAGCAAGGTGGGGTAGTGGAGCTGTATGGGCATGGTATATTTCACAGACTCATGGCCCAGACCCGGAAAGAAGGTGGGATCTTCCATCCTAAATGCCAGTCAACAGAGAAGTTTGGGGGATGACCTGTGACAGGAAGTCAGGCAGGGAACAGGCCACTCGCCTCAACTATGAAAAGTTACCAGCTGTGACAGGTTATCGAAACAGCAAGACAGTCTCTGAGGCTTTATTTGAAAACTAGCATTTGCCCATGCTGAGGGCACTGGGCAAATGAATGCTGAGCGTGCACGTACGCCGAGGAATCTATGCCCACAACATCTCCAAGGCCTTAAAGAAAACAGCTGATAAAGTCCTCAGCAGTTCAACAGGGTAGACAAGGCTGAGGTTAAAGGATTTAAGTCTCTAGAGATGCTCCAATGTTCTGGTAATGAGAGCATCTCAGCTTGCCTAAAGAATACAGTGCATTTTCATAAAATCCCTGAGCCATGTTTAAAACAAACAAACAAAAACCCCCACCAAAACAGGGTGTGGGCAGTTCCAGGCCCACAAGGAAAACACTCAAGAATAAATAGGCTCCGTATGGATCAAACTTCTTGGAGACCAGGTATGGGGTCTCTTCCCGAGGCCTCTGCTTCCTAGAACAGGAAAACCTAGTGTATAACCTCAAATCCTAAGGCTAGATCTGGGAAGACAAATGGTTTCAGTTTTGACAATTTGGTGAACTCTTGCTCACTCCCAACATCACCTCACATTTCAGATCCCATGTTAATTTGGAACTCTAAGACTTCAGGGCGAGAGGTAGTGCAGGTTTGAGGAAAGCACTGGCTTTGACCCAGCCTTTGCCTCGCTTTGGTAGGTTCTGTAGTCCCAGACCTGGTTACCTGGTTTTGAGGCACTGGGAACCTGAGAACCATCCGTTATCTTTCTACATCCCAATGAAAAGCCCAAGAGGGAGCAAGGCACACTTTAGGGAGTTGGTAGACAGGGCCTCAGACTGTAAGATGAGACTATTAGCGCACTGGGAGTCTAGCAGCCACAGCCTCACCTTCTTTCTAGATGTGAAGAACTAGTTAGTTGATTTATCTGACTGGAACGGAAGCAGGGCCATTTCCCACTGATGATAACGCCCCTTGGAGCCTAGGTCTCTAGGTAACAGGCCTCCGCAGCGTTAACGAATAACATCCTATCTTAGCAGACTGAAGAGCACTATCAGAAATATTCACTAGCGCTTTATTCACTGTGTTGACCGTGACATTCAAGCTTACTTCTCTTGGGTGCATGGGTGGTAGCTCTGAGCTGTGTGCTCAGCTCCCTAAGGAAGCTACTGCAACCAGCAGGGAGGGGTTGTCTGCCTCGATCTCCCTTCCTCGTGGGGTGAACACATGGGGCCAGCACACAGCCTGAGATGGGCGAGTCTCACGGAAAAGGCTACCCAGGTTCCAGAAGGGGTGCTTAGGAACTTACACTGTCTGAGATCACCCACTGCCTCTGTCAAAAGGAATTCTGTATGAGCTTGGAAAGCGTATCTAGTCTTTAAACAGCCAAGTGAAAAAGGATTGTACACCCAGCTCAGTCACTCAAAGAGCTACTTTTTAACCAATGCCACCCAATAATCTCTTATGTGAAGTTAAAAAAAAAAACATCCAAATACCAATAGATTCAACTTTATCGCATTATGCCAAGATACTAAACTTTCTTTGCATCTCTCTCTCTCTCTGGCACATTTAGAATATGAGCATCCTGTAAATTCCTGAAAACCCTGGGAAAGAAAACAACTAACTTTTAGGAGAGAGCAGCAGCTCAGTACAGGCAGGACGAAGATCCTTGGTGGGTTTCCAGAAGCTGGTTTCGGGCGAGAGTGGAGGAGGGACGAGGCTTCCCAGGACAGCCTAGACACGGGGCTTCGTGTCAGTATGTGCCAGCGGTCTGCTCGGGGACCGGCAGCAGTACAGCCATTTGACTCTCACAAAGACTGCCCTTCTGACTGGGGTCCTGGTACCTTTAGAGTCTGTCTGTATCTTTTATTCAAAGTCTGCAGAGAGATGAGAATGCCACTGAGTTCTCTCTTACACATCTCCGTATTTTCACTGGGGAACACTACAATCTGTTCTTTGCAAGTAGATGTATTAAAAGCTGCACAATTACAAATGGATTTTAATTCAACCTAGACCTGTTTGCGGAAGTGATGTGGGGCTGCTCAGTGGTGGGACTGTTGGCAGGAAAAGATAATTTCTTTCTCATGACACCAGAAACACATCTCACCCTGGTTACAAGTATGTGTTCCTGTCTGTCTTCCAGACATCAGTGTGAGCAAGGTTGACCAAAGCAGCAGGTGTGGGAGGGACTGCACGTGTAGACTGAAAAGGGCAGGAAGAAGGGACGGGCTAGCAGCACGATTAGGCAGCAGCTTCAGAGAGACCGACTGGTCCAGTCACTGACCAGGAAGACACACTTTCAATCAGAGCTGAGGACTGGAGCGCGAGCACACAGGAGGGCAGGCCAGAGGACGAGAGGACGCCCCGAAATAGGCTCACCGCTGGGCACTAGGTACACCACATGCAATATGACACATCCTTTTTAACGTCACACAGTAGAAATCTCGTACACGCCACAGTACACTAAGTACAGAGAGACTTGGAGGCACACACAAGAAGCAGGGCAAATTCGGACTGGGATTAAAACAAAGACAGAACAGTGAGAGGCAGGAGGTTAGGTTCCAGGCCAGCAAGGGCCACACCCACCCACCAGGGAAATCACACCTCAGTGTTGCCACAGTTGACTGATTCAAGAAGGCCTAATTAGCTAAACAATCTGAAAAAATCCAACTGCTGCTCCCCACCGCCAGGAGGTAACCCTGAGAGTCCCTTCTGGCCTTCGGGCTTCGTTCCCAGGAGGTGGCCGGTACACTCCCCCCCCCCCCCCCCCTGTTCCCAGGAGGTGGCCGGGCCCCCCCCCCCCCCCCTTCCCGTGTTCCCAGGAGGTGGCCGGTACACTCCCCCCGTTTCGGTACACTTCCCCCGTTTCCCATAAACAGCCTGATCACTACTCAGCCACGTTAGTAACACTGGAACAGTAGTCAAGAACACCCATCACAGTGCTTAACAAGATTTAATGTACATTTATTCTTAACATGTGGGACATATAAAGATTTTATACTGAATAAATGATATTCATTAAGCCAGAGGAAAAGGAGGAATTTACATCAAGTTTTTTTTCTTTTTTTTTTCTTTTCTTAAACTACATTATCTTGAAATACAAATGTGGATTCTTGTCACAGAAAAATCTTTGAAGTTGTGTTTCTTCCTTTTAGTTGTTTTTTCTTTCTTTTTTCTTTTTTTGTCTGTATTGGTATCCATTTTCTAAATCAATCCATATGCAACCATTTCCACACCTTGATTCATGAAGCAAATTGGAACCAGCCGCTCTCCCAACAGAGCATGACTTTATACATACAGAAACTTGTACATTACCCTCTTTTTTTTTTTTGTTTTTGTTTTTTGTATTTTTTGTTTCATTTTGTTGGAGATATGGTCCTAATGAAAAAATATATAAAATAAAAATAAAAAATTATTTAAATCTACCATCACTTTGTAGTTACCACATCATGAAAAAGAAACTAAAAACTTTGTACTAAAAAAAAAAAAGAAAAGAAAAGAAAAAAATGAGGGTATGTTTAATGTACAACTTCTATATACATCACAGCCCATAGGCAGTAAAAAAATATTTAAAAATGACGAAAGGAATTGTGAAGAGCTGTCCCGTGGACTGTCCCGTCCATGGCGGCAGTGGTGAGGAGGCAACTCCACTGTTGTTGTTAGGAGCACACTTTCACTCCGAACTCAAAGAGCCTTTTTTTTTTAAGTTTTAAGTTTTTTGCTCATGGCCTAATATACCCATTTCCTGTGGAGAAAGCAGTATCTCGCAGAGTCCTGACTACTGACTGCCTCACCTCCTCAAGCCCCTGTACCTGAACCTCTACAAGTTTCTACTGCACAGAGCTTTGGGTGACGGGATGCAGTTTTGCTTTTCATTCTGTGAAGAATAAAATTCATAGGAAATCAATTCAAGGATAAATTTTCCTTTCACCTTTTTGCCTCAGTGTGATAAAATTTTCATATCTTAGCTTTTTTTTTTTCATTTTTTTTGCTAAAGCTTTTTTTCTTTAATGTCAATTCACTTCCCCCAAACTGCAATACAACGTGGGGGGTGGGAGGGTAGGAAATTTATGAAAAAAGTGACTTTTGAATGCACTAGACAGCAATTTTGGTTAAAAAAAAAAAAGAAAAAGAAATGGAAAACCCCCAAAGGATGTACTTATACACACAGACAGCAAATATTAATTTTATAACTGTTCAAATTAATGATTTCTTTAATTCCCAATTGGTAAATAGTGAATGGGGCAGAGGAGCAAAGATTTTTCTTTTCCTTCTTCCTACGCTGGATAAACGAGAACAGAAAACAGCCAGTTATATGTGACCCTCTATCTTCACTCACACATGCGTGCCTTCTCACGTGTGTCATAACTGCCCAATCTGAAACAGTACATCACAGATGACAGATGCAACCAGAGAGTTTAGGACAGCTGATATCGAGATATCCAGCAGCCGACCCTCGTGCAAAAGGAATTCCGAGCGGTTTTCGTCCACTCTGGCCATGGCCAGCAAAGCCTTGGCCGCCCTGCACATCATGTCTACACTAGGGGGTTCCAGAGGTGGGGGCTGCATGTGCATGAGGTTATGCTGGCTCTGCTGGTACTGTGCCATCGTGACCCCGTCCTCCAGGAAGCTTATCAAGTTTCCAATGCTTCCTTTCTGCACAGCGATTGCCCTCGCCGCCAGTGCGTCCCCTTGGGCAAGGTTCGATAAAAGCGCCATGGACATTTCTCGACAGACTGGGTTTTTGCGATCCCCAACGTACCTAACTAACGTAGCATAAAATTTCTCCTGCCGACTAAATGGAGGTGTGGCCAAGATCAGGTCCACGTTGTTGTCCTGGATACTGAGTTTACAGAGGGTCTCCAGCACAAGTCTCTGCGGCGACAGGACTGAGTTGGGCCCCACGGTGGGAAAGGGGTCCTGTGCCTCCGCAGACGGGCACACCATCCAGTGCAGCAAGCCGTCCAGGATGGGTAAGCAGATGCTCTCTGTGTAGGCAGACAAGTCTAGCTGCCCGGAAATGTTGGCCAACGTGACCAGTGTGTTATCCCGCAAGACCTCAAGGCAGTCCCACCACCACTCATCTTTGCTGCAGGCCACCCCCTTGTCCTCATCCTCCTCCTTCTCGTAGGTTTGTGGTGCCCGCTTTCTCTCCGGATGCTCGTGGTGCAGCAGAATCAGCTTTCCCAGGATCAGCACCAAGCCTGGGTGTTTGGACATCTCTGCGTCATTGCCAGGCACGAAAGACAAGCTCCGCACGATGTTGGACACACAGATACAGCGCTTGGCCAGTGAGTCCTGCCAGTGTGCGATGGTGCACAGTGGCGTCTCGTCCCGGCTCCTGGGCTCGTCCTCCAGGAGCCGGATGTTCCGGTGGCTTTTTGCCTGCTGGATTCCCAAGGGAAACTTGCCACTGTCGGTTTGGGGTCCAGGGTTGGCGTCTTCAGGCAGGGCCCCTGGACGGGCAGAGAGGACATCATCTATGGTGGCAATGATGCTTTTTTCTGGCTGCTCTTCAGAATCACCTTTGCCATCTGGCTCTTTCTTCCTACCCATGGAACTTGGAAGTGGAGGTGGACGCCTGCGAGGAGGGATCTCCATCTTGCTCTCGAAGTGGGTCTGGATGTGCTCAGTCGTGTCTCCGCCCCCCAGTTGCCAGTGCAGGAGTCCGCTGTTGAACTCTTGCACGCGGCCCAGCTTGTCCGACCGGTCCACCACAAACAGGTTGTTCTTTTTGACAATCTTTATGGGTAGCTTGTCAAACTTACTGGCCTGCTTTGGTGTCTCCTTGGGGTCCGCGGTGGCATCTGGAGCAGCAGGGGCAGCTCTGCTCTTCCCCTCTGACTCAATCTTTTCGTTGTCTTCCTCATCTTCCTCCTCCTCCTCCTCCTCATCAAGACACTCAGCATCGTCTTCCTCTTTCCCAGAGTCGTCTCCAGAAGACTGGCTGCCATCTTTCTTCCCCGCATGGTGATCAAGCGCTTTGTGGCTGGGGTCGCCCACTTCATATTCCATAAGAATTCCAAAAATGTCAATGAGACATTTTCGAAAGTATTCTACTAATAGTTCCAGGAATCCAGAAAGCTAGAGAAGAGGAGAGAGAGAAGAGGTACAGCGTCAGACAGCAGCTCTGACGCACAAGGCCTGAGCCTGGGGCAGCTCTGGATAAAGACTTCCGTACAGTCTTAGTGTCCTCCGGCCAGACCCTGGAGGGCACACACACCTGAGAGCCACCTTCCTGATGACGGTCTAAGGTTCTCTAACAGCTGACATCAGGACCGGCACTAGCTCTCTGGGGCCACAGCTCCAATGTGGGGAGGACGCCACCACTCTGCAGCTTGGGCGACTTAGGGATTGTGTACAGGGAGGAGCAGGCTTGAGGATTTCATAGACTCTAGCACCCAAAGTGAATCTATTTGCTCTTCTCCTATTTATCTGGGAGTCGCCTGCTGGGCTTTTATGGCTATTATTCTTAGGATTTTTATGGTTATTTTTGTCTCAGGTGCCACCGGTTGCTCTAATTTACGTTCTCTCTATACCTTTTGGAGGAGATAATTTCAACAATGTAGTAGCTCATAAAGGCTGAAAATTATAAACAAATCAATTTAGTCCCTGATAAATGAATGAGACTGCTTCATAAAATGCAATTTTTCATTTCAGTTATTCACAATGCTAAATGAAAGACAAGAGCCTCTAGCAAGAGAGTCAACGCCTCTGCAAGCCCGAGCACCCCTGCCTGCCCTGCTCGATCGAGCACGTAGCCTGCCACATTCAGGCCATGAGGACAAGCAAGGAGGATTGTGTGTGACAGACACTATGGAAACTAGCCACACCTTCACATCTACTGTCTGTTCCCAGGAAGGGGCTAGGGGTGCCTGTCTGGGGTGAGGGCCGTGAGCTGTGCCAAGCAGCTGCTTTCCTGACCCTGAAGGTACTCTTCCAGGTGAGGGTGGAGGGCTCTCCCTCCTTTCACAGGTTCCCCTTTTCCTGGGAAAAAGGGAAGGTTAATCAAGCACTCCTGGGCATAAACAGGCGAGGCCAGTCCGAGTTCACCTGCCGTGAGGATGAAGGTTCTAGAAAAGGCTGATACATGATTTTAAGCTTCTCTTGAACACATGTCATGCAATGTTCGCCACATGCTAGTATATTCCACCGGCTGGGAAGTGCCTCTGCGGCCATGCTGAAGACCCAGTGAAGGCGGGGGGCGGGGGGAGAACCAGACAGCCCAGTGTCTTCAGGTGGCTGAGCTGTGTAGACCCCACAGGAAGAACAAACTTCTCTCATTTTTATCCTAAATATGTCTAAAGCCTGCACCCTCCCAGCCCGCCAATTTACTCTGGCGTTTTTCTCCGGCTCCCTGCTGTCAGTCAGACTGCTGGAGGTCACTCTAAGGCCAGCTCTGAACTGGAGGGTTTCCAGAGGATGGCAGCAGCAAGATTTCAAATGACTACTTCAAAACAAGCAGGAGAAAGGCAGCAGTGGGAGGGCGGAGCTGGAGGCGGCATGGGCAGGCGTCACTTCAGGGACCGTGGGGACACAGGCCAATGAGCTATTCTGTTACACGTGCTACCTACTTTCTCTGGGGAAAACGCAGCATGGGGTGTGGTGGTTCATGTCTACAACCCCAGCATATGGAAGCAGGAGTTGGTAGTTCAAGACCACATACCAGGTTCAAGGCCAGGGTGGGATGTGAGGACCTGCCTCAAACAAATGACTAAAAAACAGCAACAAAAAGATACTAAGTTGCTCTGAAAAGTACTTTCTGTAACTGACATCACTTACCATTTCATGTTCTGTCTTAATCATTCCTACTGGCCTGTTCACTCCATGCAACACTTTCTTTACCCCCCCCCCCCCCCATACCCTGAAGAAGGAAATGAATTATCCTAGACTAAGAACTCAGGCAACTACAGTGATTAAGGTGATTTGAAGTCTTGGGGGGGTTACCCCACCACCAGCACAAACACGCACTGCTTAACTGAGAACAGGCTAACTTGCTGCCAGCTGTACTGTGGCTGCCTCACCTGGGACAGATTGAAGGTGGCGACAGTGCTGTCGTCATAGAGGAGAATGTTGATGGTGTCCAAAGCCCACGTGCTCTCAGCCAACAGACCCGACTTAAGGGACATCATGACACGCCACGCCTCAGGAGTGACTGAAAAGGAGAAGGGGGTAGAGTGGTCACTGCAGACAGCTTAAAACAAACGCTCGCAGAGTCAGCCACGCACGGCCATCTGACTACAGTGGGAGACTGCAGCTCTACGGGATATTTTGCTCTTTAAGCTTTTTTCGCTGTGGTGGTAAAACAGGACCCCAAGTGCTTCTAGCTGTGGGTGGGCCTGGCCAGCAAACATGATCTTTGTTGTCTTGGTGTTTCTTTGACCCTTGCTATGAGTCGGTACAGGAGCACCAGGGTTGCCAATCCCAGCATAGCTGGCTGTTTTTGCCTTCTCCACTCAAAAGGACATCAAGGTGGCATCTTCAGAAGCCTGGCAAGTTTGGAGAATTGGAAGAAAACGTCATCCCCACACTGTAACCTCAGACAAAGGTCTTGGTTTTCCAGAGCTGTTTTCTCCCACTTCCATGCCCTGCTGTAGCCGCACAGGCACTGTGTTGGCTGCGTCTCAGGATGTGGCTGAGCCCAGAAGTGGGAGACTACGGTCTGCACTTTCTGTTCTCTTCCCACTCCTGCCAGCAGAAAAGTGATGACTCGATGAGAGCAGTCAGCTTTTCCAGGGATGGGGTTACACTGGGGGCTCCCCATGTCCTGAGTCTGCAGTGGCCTGCCCGGGACTGTGATGTGACCTGAGGGAGCGACGGAGCCTGGTCTACCACATTCACCACAGCTACATGTGGTGCAGTGCGGGGGGTGAGGGAAGGGGTACCCAAAGACATCTTTACTGTGGCTTGGTTTTACAAGCTTTCTAAAGAGGAAAACATGACTTTTGTCACACAATATATCAGACTTTTGAAAATAAAATTTCCCAAGCACTGATAGAAAATGGAGTAAAAGGAAGACAAACAAACGACATATATGGCTGGAGAGATGGCTCAGCAGCTAAGCACACACTTCTTGGAGAGGACCAGGGTTAGGGTCCCAGCACGCAAACCATAGCTAACAACTATCTGTGACTCTACTCCGTGAGGACTTGACAGCTCCTTCTGGCTTCCTTGAGCACTGCATGCACATAGTACAGACACACATGCAGGCAAAACACCATCTAAAACAAGTAAGTTTTAAAAAATAGATGTGCCATCTATTTAAACACACAAATATAAACGTCCAGTTCATTTAAGCTCTCTAAAATATTGGGCTCAGTATCTGTACCCCAGAATCTCCCTACAGCTCCCACTTAGATACCCTACTTTTCTTATTATGTACTTTTTAAATGTCTAACAATTGAAAACATCCTTAATATCATTAATTAAATATCTTTTAATTTTCTAATCATTATAAATTATTTTAAGGCAAGTGATTTCAAAATCTTTGAAAAAAAATTTCTTACAAAACCAAGAGCTATTATTTCCGATGCTGTGTTAAAAGAATTTCAAAATAGGCGCAGAAAAAGCTGTGTTTGCTCCCAGACATTCCAGAGTGCTAATTACTATTCCTACCCTCTCCCAGAGGGCTGGAGCAGCATTAGCATTCAGCTGAGGTGCACTCCTTGGCCTGTATCTGCCAGTGCTGTGTGGATTACATCAGTTCCATATATCATAGCTGAGAATGTCCCACAAAGCAGCTCTCTCCATCTACCCAGCACAGCCAGGTTGCTACCCTTCCCCATGGAAATTCACCTCACATTGCCATTAGAGCGGCTGCCTTCAGGTTCCTCACAGTGGATCTCTGAAGCATGCACTGCTGAAATTAAGTGGCTTGGTTACGGTTAAATCTCAAGCCAGCACACAGCCTGTGACAGGCCTGAGTCTGCCCTGGAGCCCTGGTCTCTTCCATAAGCAACCTTTGCACCTAGAGGTGCCATTTCGATTCAGGCCATTCTCTGGCCTTCTTCTTACTCAGTTGAGTGGCTTCTAAGCAGTGCTCCCATTATGTGAGTATCCTGACAATCTGTATTATTAAGAAGCTCATCCAGCTGAGAGGGATGGGAAATATGTCAAACAGTTTTAGATTGCAAAAACAATCCATTTCCAGAACAACCCTTTCAAATTCTTACCAATATCTTTTGAGGTAATCTTTCGCCTTTGTTTCAGAACTGGCTGTGATGCTTCCACGGAGCCAGGAGGGAAGGTGATCTCCCTTCTGATTGGCGGCGGCTGAGGGGGCGGCCCCGAGACCTGGGATGTGGGGACTGTGGGCATGACCTTCTGCATCTTCATGGCAGGCAGGAAGGGAGACTTGCTTGGAGACATGCGGCTCTCCAGGGAGCGCTGGAAGGAGGCGGGGCTGGGTGCCCTGGAGATGTGGTTTGGCAGTGACGGTGGAGTCTGGTAGGATGACTGAGGTGGGCGCGTGATGGGCTGCATGGAGGCCGAAGATGACATGTAAGGCTGGCGCTGGCTGACGTGAGAAGACCACTGGCTCTCGTGATTGATCCTCTGATCAGGTACCATCATATCCTCCGTGCGGTTCATGCCTGGGTAGGGGGGTGCCTGTGCAGGGACGCCTGGGCCTTGCCTGTTCTGGTAGGGATAAGGCATATCGTTGCGTGTTGCCCACATGTTCTGCTGAGGCCCCTCGCTGGAGGAAGACTGCATGGGGCCACCCATCATCTGAGGTGGGATTCCATGTGGCTGCATCTGGCCCGGGCCCTGCACCCTCTCTCTGTTGTAGGGGTATGGATATTGTCCCTGGATGGGCCTCCTGTCCGGGCCGGGGTAGGAGCCGCCATACTGGTTGTACATCTCCTGCTGCTGGCTGCCGTACTGCATGCTGTACATGTCTCCCTCGTGGCGCTTGGCTGGGGGCCCGTACATGCCATCCATATGGCGTTTGTAATTCTGAAATCCATATAAAGACAGATCACGCTGATGTACTCTTAGAGGTATAATCTCACACACTCAAATTATGCAAAATACTTATTACTGGGTAGAATGTTCATTTCAGAACAATATGGGACGCTCCTATGTACTGGCAAGCACTAACGATTTAGGCATCAATTTCAGTAGTGTCACACTCACAGGAAGGGTTCCCATGTTTGCTGAAAGCAAGGACCCCTCTCCTTGCTTGCGATACAGGGACAGTACATGACCAGCATAGCAGCACATGGGATGGACCTGAGGTGAGCCAGGAGCCAGGGTGCTCTGCCTTTTAAGGCAAACTGGATATCCCAGGACCATCCTGGGAGGATCTGGGCTAAAGGGACTCCTGGGCCTCAACAGATGACAGCATACTGACACAGCTCCTCAGGCTAGACCACAACACCTGCTGTCCATATCCTGGCTCCTCACCAGATACCCAGCTTGTCCAGGCTCAGTTCTCCATGACACTCTTACTGGAGCCTGCACACAACTCCTTCCACTGAGCTCCACTCCTGGAGATGCTTTCGCCAGTGCCCAGAAGGTGGGTGGGATTTCCTGATGGCAAGGGAAGAGACCCTGAGGGGTACACTGTGCTATTTCCCTTTACTTCAAACTGTTTATAATACGTGGCTTTGCTAGTTATAGGTTAAACTCCAGAAGTAATGAGTATTTCAAAATGACTTTGTAATTAAAATATTCTAAAAAGAAAATTCCTATTTTTTGTTTGAGAGAGAAATCCCAAATCAAAAAAGTTTTTCAGAAACAACTAGAGCCTAAAGTCTGAAGGGCCACACTAGAAGTTCCATTCTTAGGGTCCCTGTGATGTCTGCAAGGTTGGATTTTGTATAACTTGGCTATGAAGGATGCTGTGAGCCAGCATACATGGGAACAAATATTACAAAATATGCCATTAATTTATCATTTTAAATAAAAAACTCAGTGAGTACCCTTTAAGGGGGCAGTGGGCCATGCAGCAAAGAGAGTACTGCCCGCTGGGGTAGGTGTTACCAAGATGTTGTTTTAAGAGGGAGCTTTCAGTCCTGCTCCACAACAGTCCATGTTTCCTTTACTGTATTCTTTAAAGTATGGTGCATTTCTGCCCTGCAGTGGACTTAACTAAACAACATCCGGTTGTCCCCGGTATCTACAGAGACTGCTTCCAGAACCCTGGGGCCACATCCACAGACACTCAAGTTCCTGGGCGACAGACTCAAGCTTCTGTACCATCCACATACTGCCATTTGTCGTTTGAGACACTCAGATACAGTGAGCGCTATGTAACAGCTGTGCCTCCCTTGTTTAGAGAATAGTGATGAAGGACACACACATGCTCTGTGTGTTTTTCTTTTGACCTGTGGTTGGCCCAGTTCGTGGATCTGGAACTTGTGGGCCTGGGAGGGTGAATACAGACAGGAGTCCAGCACATTGTATGTATCTTAGAACGCGACATGTCAAGAGCTATTCTAATTTTCTGAGTTCAAGATCCCAGGAGTACTTTCTGGCTAAGTCCCGACTATTCAGTAAGGCTATGCTTCCATTAGCCCTCCCCAAATCTTCACAAGAAAGTCAACTCTGGGTTTCAGCCTCTAGCAGAGAAAGAGGAAACAGACCCATGGCCGCTGGCCAACTCACCGGCTGCTGTGGGTACAGGCCAGGCTGGTGTCCTCCATACGGTGGCTGTCCTGTGGGAGGACCTTGGCCTGGGTACTGCTGCCCATAAGCCTCATGCCTAGAGCAAAGAAAACTTAGTTTATACGGGACTTGAGGCAGACACAGACTCGGACAACCCATTTCTAGAAACTACCCCAAGGCTCTGCCTTCTCGTCACACACACCACAGGAGGCCACAGCTCTATTCCAGCGTCTTGCAGGGATGGTAACACCCGTCTCAGGAGCTGAGCCAAACTCCGTGTTCAGGCTGTTGCTAATTGGTGTCGGAGGGATACCGGTTGGACAGGCAGGGCCCTGTGTGTGCTTGTCCAAGCTTTGGCCTTTTCCTTTGAGGCGGAAACCCCACCCATCCCCTGAAGCTGCCGCCAGCAACTACCACAGGTGTTGTCATGGGAGTGAGAAGCAAGAAGCAGCCGAGAGGGTCAGAAGCAGATTTCCAGAAGCAGCAGAACACGGATGACACACCCATCCTCTATGTCCTCACTGAGGACACAGTTTTGAAAGCTACACTTCAGGAGTGAGTCTGCAGACGCTAACACCCAGCAGAGGGGAGGTCAAATCTCTTCAGTTCCTGATTCCAAAGGCTATAGAAAAGGACACTAACAGCGACGAAAATGAGCTCTTATAAATTTTCACACAGAAACAGATAATGCTCATTTTCAACTGCTCCCACGTTTAGGAATTGTGAAATAGATCTGGAGCTTTGACAATAAACTAGTTTAAGTTATAAATACTGAATCTTGTAGGAGGGAAGAGTAACTGGACAAGAAATAAGAATAAAAAAGAAATTAGATTACCATATGCAAATAGACAAGGGAAGACTCTTGAAGGAAGTTTAGAAAAAGGAAATAAAATTGACAAGGATAAACTTAAGGTGGGCAGTAACATTTTTCAGAAGACTGTCAACTACGAAGGAAAATGCTCTGATGTGGATGAGTCAAAGCCAGACACTGCAGGAGAGACAGGAAAGCAAGCTTACTGGAGAGCTTCTACACATGTCTGTCTTTACACAACTGTCTAATCTCACTGGGGGAAAAATCCCTAGCTTTTACTAGATCCTAAAACCAAAGCCGACTCAAATGAACCCTTATCCTATGCACGAGGGATCCACAATGGCTAAACTTAACCCTCATTCCAAGCATTAGACATCGTGGTGGCTCAGTGAAAACAGGAGATACCAACAGAGATATCCATCACAGGTGGCCAGGGTATGAGGAAAAACCAGATCGCAGAACCTGTCTCCCTGGTGACCAGTGATGCTGCATTTTAACAAGGAGCCTGCCCCCCAGAAGATACCGGGAAGATACCTCACTTGTGATCTTTCACACCCATTCCTCAGTATCAAGCTCTTTCCACTCATGGCCCCTCCCTTGTCTCTGGCAGGTGTGCTGGTGAGAGGGCCTGGATGTGGCTGGGCTGCCCTGGGCAGACAGTAACCATACCGGGATCATGGAGGAAGGGGCTCCAGTCAGTCCTGTCGTTTATCAGCATAGTGTGGCCACAAAGAGGACAAGACCTTTTCTTCTTGCGTGCTTCATGCTTTTTCTTTATACACAAGGACCACACTAAAGGATGCTTTAACCATCTCGCTCAGTGGAGCAGAGAATAGGCCAGGATAAGAGAGGCCTTGGCACAGGTGAGAGATCTCTTTACAAAGAGAGCCCCTTCCTGTGACACCTGTCTTCTCACCAAAGTACAATCACAGTTTGGGGGTGTTCCTGTAGCCTCAGCTGCCATGTGGATGGCAAAATGGCGTCCTTGGAGAGGCTCTTGTGCATCTGAATGACTGGTAGGCTTTCTCAGGTGTCTGTTAAGAGCAAAATACACTCTTGATCCAGAACTTGGAGAGCACAAGAGCCAAGTCTGAGAGCCAAGTGTGAGACCCTAGATATCCCTAAGGAGTGCGGGGGGTGGATGGCCTGGTACTCAAAAGCCTAGAAAGCTGGCGGTGTCTCACACTGGTAACAGCAACTGTCTCAGAGAAGCTGGTGTTGGGTGGGAGGGTGGAGGGTTGACACAGTGTTTAGTGGCTCCTGATTTCTAAGGGAAGAGACCACTGTCAGGACACCTGAACCTGAGGTGTGCCGCCAAACACCTGCTAAGGAATACCAGCCATAGATGGTCTGAGACTAAGTTCTTCATGAAGAACTGTAAGTAGCCACTGGACATTATGTGGTCATCAGTGGTGGCTACAAAAAAGTTACTCGCTGTGCTGTCCCTGGATGCTCAGCCGCCATGGCTTAGCATTGTGCATTCGAGGAAAGTAGTTTCTGGTAAACTGGCTCATTGTCATCTTTTTGACACTCACCTTCGGTCATAACTGGCTCCATAGGGAAACTGCTGCCGCTGTCCCATGCCCAGATTGGACATGGCGCTCGAGGGACTCTGGTTGTACATGTCCTGCATACTGCTGTTGGGCATCTGTCCTTGTGTCATAAAGGGCTCGCTACTTCCAGGCACTGTGACATTTGAAATAAAAAGCACAGAATTAAGTACTTCTAAAAGTCAAAGGGCCTAAACATTCCTTCTTGTAATTTCAGTAGCTCCAACATATTGTACAGAACACCACAATCCTAATGAAAAGATATGAAATCCACCCAAGGGTGCGGAATCCTAGTGATGGTCTCAAGGACACCTGCGTCCCTGCTGTTTGCTTTGCATGAGCCTCTGACCTTGACCTGGCAGGACCCAGAAACGGGCTGAGCTGTGGATTGTGGCAAGGGAGATTCACAGATGTAGTGACAGTTATAGCTGACTACATTCATTCACCCAAGGGGAGAATTCAGGCAACCCTTCAAGTCTGGGGCTAAAGGCTAAAGATGGAGCCTATCTGAGACTCTCCTACTGGCCTTGTCATGGCAAGGGTGGACAGAGAACAGCCAACAATATGATGGTCACCTTGGCCCCATAACCATAAGAGATGAGGGAATGAACTCTGTCAACAACCTGAATGAACCTGAAGGGAGCCGGAGCTCAGAAGCTGAGTCCTGGCCAGCACTTTGGTTTTGTATGGGACTGAGGGCAATGGCCCAGGCCTACCCTGCAGCCTGGCTGACCCCACAGACAGCCTACATCTTTGCTGTCATAGGTGTAGCCTGTGTCTCCTGTCACACAGCAATGTGGAAGCTCATAGAGAGGCTCCTCATGTTTATGTTACCATAAACATGCTACCAGCACACAAAGAGTTCATAAGCAACACATGAAATATGTACTTAAATTAGTTTCCACCTCTACACAGACAAGCCAGAAAATACTGACATAAACATGCATTCACCACAGCTCAGGGGCTTGCAGAGGTGGTTCACTGCCACTTGCAGCACCCGAGTTCTGTTCCCAGCATCCACAGCGGCTGGTGGCGCACAGCTATCTGTAACTCGCTCCAGGGATCTGAGGTCCCCCTTCTGGCCTTTGGGGGCACTGCATTCATGTGCACATATGCACATACAGTTAAAAAATAAAAGAAGACAAAGAACAGCTGAAGATGGGATGAGCTGTGGCTTATTTCCATCAAAAGGCCAGCCACCAATAAGGTTGCATATACAAATGAGCCATCAGCTGAGAGCCTGAGGAAAACTGTACTAAGTCCAGACTGGCCTGCAAGGATAGCAAATGTTCTAAGCTTTGATTGCTCCATGGCTACTGCTTGTCTTCATTCTACTACAGCTACTTCTAGGTGAGGCAAGTTTTCTGAGTCACTGCTATCACACCGTGGGCCAGGCAGAGAGCTGAGGCCACAGCAGGAGTGTCACACCAACCTGTGGAGAACCAGTTCCGAGATTACTTTCCATTTCGTAGATAGAGACAGAGATAGGCAGAAGTCAAGCAGCATAATTGAAGTTAAGTAGTTTAATTCTTTACTATGCAAAGAGTTCTTAAAAAAAAATCAAGAGGAAAAAAGATAGTAAATCAAAACCAGGAAAAGCCTGTTCACAGAAAAAGGAAACTAAGATCACTCAACATGTGACAGGTGTGTGGCCTTACTGAAAAAGTTAAAAAAAAGTGAGTCACAATCTGATTGGCAGCTGTTCGGCCGGCTGGTAAGAATCAGCGTGGGAAGCGGGGCCCACACCCCTGCATCCGCCCACCGGTGCATCCAACCGCTGTGACCTCTGCCGGACCTGCTGCAGGCAGCCACCCCCGGCACCCAGAGGAGCAACAGCTCCTTGCATTCACAGCCCATGGTTTCCCAGAATGACACTGGGCTAGGCCACAAGCTTAGTGCTGACCAATAGGCTCAGGGGAACGGATGCCAGTAAATGCTCGCCAAGCTCACCATGGGGCTTGTTATTGTGGATCTTCTTGGGGCTCCTTCTCCACAGCAAAGGCACCCCAGAAACCACACAGAAAGGCCCCAGACTCCAGCTGGGTCCTGAGTGAGACTCTGCCCACATCAGGCATCCCAGAGGCCCGGATGACACAGCCACGAGACAGACTGAAGTTCTGCTGACTGAAGTCAGGGAATCTGGGGTCAGTTTCCTATGCAATAAAGGACAGCCGAGGCACTGCATTCCTATTCTTTGACTCAATAAACCTTCTAGGAATCCATCTTGTGGGAATGTCACAATCATGGAGACAGTTTATTGCAGCAATCACTGCTCTCCTTTTTTTTTTTTTGTAGGAGCAGAATGGGAGGAAACAACCCATCCAGTGCTACCACACTGCTATGTATGCGTAAAGTAACAGACAATTGAACACACTGGGTACTATGGAGGGAGAGGGAGGGAGGGAGGGAGGGAGAGAGAGAGAGAGAGAGAGAGAGAGAGAGAGAGAGAGAGAGAGGCTACAGGCAGGTAGTGAGCAGGCAAGGCTGGCTCCACAGTAACAGCCCTCGGATGAGGCTGAGTCGCTGCACCACCGAGTCACGGGCCGGTGACAGCGACGACAGCAGGACTGCTGCAGCAACCATGGGGATGTCTTGGTTTCCGCCGACATTGGTCTAAGTTCACAGAATATGGCAAACTGAAGAAGGAGCAATTTTACTTACAAGTAAGAGCTTAAGGAAATGTTTTCTGTGGACTGTTTCTGCTTTATTTTGGTAATAAATGTCCCAGTGCTGTGAGGCAGCAGCTGAACTGAAATAGACAAGGATTGTGCTGCTTATCTATGGCTTCCATGGTCGATGAAGACACACATCTCTCTGCCTACTACCTCATAACACAGCTGCCTCCTTGTTCCCCCAACGGCCCAGACTCGTTTTGTGCTGCTTGCGTGTGTGCAGGTGCACACAGAAGCCTGTGGTGTCAGGAGTCTTCCTCTAATCTTCCATCTTCATTCTGACATGAGGTCCTTCTTATTGAATGTGGGGCTCACGAACTTGGCTGGGCTGGCTGTCCAGCAAACTTTGGGGATCCTCCTGTCTTGGTTCCCAGGGTACCAGCTGTGGGTACACCAGCACAGCCAGCTTTTATGTGGGTGCTGGAGATCCAGACTCACGGCTGTGCAGAGAGTGCCTTCCCTGCGCAGCCACCTGCAGCCTCTCAATTCATTCCTACCGGAGAGAGGCAGGGACGAGCAAAGGACGGTCTCCGGCACCTGCCACACAGCAGGGTACAGAGCTGGCCTGGAGGAGGCCCTGAGGCCCACTCCAAACACCAGCGATGACCTTCCCCACATTACTGCGATATTTGTAGACTAAAGGTGGGATACAGACTCGAAAGCATTCTCACACCATGGCAATTTAGCGCCTTCAAACACCCACGAGGCTTTTGGATCTCGAGGCTACTGGATTTAGCATACTTTTTGGAAACCTTTGCTCAGAAGTAGCCCTGAGTCTCTTTAAAGGAACAATTGCAGATCAATTTTCTTTATGTAACTCTTACCTGAAATACATTTAAAATATTATAAATCTCATTTGCTTGCTAGTATACACCTGATGCTGAGACTTCTGAGAGTCTCTCCTTTTATTTTTATAGTCCATAATATGCATCAAACCCAAACTGGGGCTCTATGCATTTCTCCACTCAGGGGTATCATAAAACTCATAGCTGTTATGGTGGTGCACGCCTTTAACCCCAGCACTTGGGGAGGCAGAGGCAGGTGGATCTCTGAGCCTGAGGGCAACCTGGTCTACAAGAAGTTTCAGGTCAGCCAGGGCTATATAGTGAGAACCTGTCTCAAAAGGATTTTTTTTTTTTTAGTGTATCCCAACATCTAAGTCTGATACATTTCTTAAGAAGTCCCAGAATAGCTACTGCCACTAAAACATCTTCCCAATCTTTCCTGTATGTAAAGAATACTCCTATGATGACTTAATTTGACAGGACCTAACTACATTTGGGTGAACGCCAAAAAGCAATCTGCTAGGTTCCTACCTGATGCTGGCATGCACCACCTCAGCACATGCACTCCCTGGGGCTGCCCAGGGCTAAAGACCCAGCCCAGGTGTTTCTGTTGGCCCGGACATTCCCATGCTCCCTGAGCTCATGGGTCCCATTGCTGCAGACACACCTTGAAGGCCACCTCTGCCCAGCTCCAGACCAACAGCCTCTTGACTAGGCCCCTGCACAGATGCTCAAGACACCAAGCTTCTTGCTGCTCTGGCCCTTTCCCAACAAGCCATGGACAACTGCTCAGAGTCCTCACTCATTCACCACCCCTCTGAGACACAGCAGGCCTCTCTCTACTGCTCATATCTGACTCCAGCCCAGCGTCTATGGCTCAACTGTCACACTACTCCCTAAGTGTCTCTTTAAAAAAACTATTTAGTTTTATGAGCACTGGTGTTTTGCCTGCACGCCTGTCTGTTTGAGGGTATCAAACCACTTGGAGGTGGACGGTTGTGAACTGCCATGCCGGTGGTGGGAATTGAACCCTGGTCCTCTGAGAACAGCCAGTATTCTTAACTGCGCGGCGCCCTGCCCTGTGCATAGTTCATGTTGACACACTGCTGACAACGCTGGGCAGTGGGTGTCCTGACCACAGGTGTCCACTGTTCTTCTACTGGCTTCTCGTGTGTGGACTTCATCCTTACAGTCTGAAGCAGGCTCTACTGTTTTCATCATTTCTAGATGAGGGAAGTAAGGCACAGAGAAGCCATGTTATCCTACGGCTAGAGCTTAAGCAAGGAATGAGGCCGTGTTACTGAATGGCAGGTACTTAGAACCGGCCCCGTTGAATAGGTTGCAAGACAGTGGAGAGAAGAAAGCCTCCTGCACATGCCCACGCACCTTTTCTCATTCCGCTGAAAGGGTCCTTGTTGGGTTCATAGGGCATCCTGCCCATCATGTCTGGCATGCTCATGCCCTGCTGGTACGGGGCATTTGGAGTCATGGAGTTCCTTTTTGGGTACGACGAGGAATCACTCACATCTGAGAATGGGTCGTGCACACTGACTGTACTGCTTCTAAGAGAAACAAAAGATGAAAGCTGAAGGTCGCTGCAGCACTATCTACACACACTGTGCTCAGGAAATAAGCCACTCTCGAAACTGGTAAACAGAACCGCCCAAAGTAAATCACCTGCTAAAACTAGTAGCCATAAACACTTAGAAACTAATCAGGAAAGGACATTTTTTTTCTATTAAGTTTGCTCCAAAAACAAAACAAAATGACGTTAACATCTCAAGAGTCCTCAGAACATACCTTCCACTTTGCATGGGTGTCATCTGTCCATGAGGGGTAGAGGCTGGGGTCGGTGGTTTCAGATCACCTGGTACCTCTGCCATTGAATTGCTGCCGGTTGACTGTGGAGTCTGTGGGCCTTGTAATGATCCTGAGTTAGCTAGCAATGGTCAAGGGAAAATAAGGGGAAAAGCTACAGTTATTGATCACGCTAAATTTTCACAGCCAGGTATATGGAAGGATTACAAGTAAGACACCACTGGAATTATAGCAATACTGTAGAAAAATCAGTCACTTATACACTATTTTTGTTAAGAGACAGAGGGAAAGGGAGGGAACCAGAGCAAGCATGCATATCCAGGGATTGAAGACAGCGCCTAACACGTGTGAGGCCGATTCTGTACACTATGTTCTACCCCCAGCACCCAATGAAGGTTTTTTTTTTTTAAATAAACGATTTAGAAGCATACTTCATTTATGAGCCATAAAACATAGTTGTATGTTTGACTGGGTAATTGCTTCCTGGGATATTTATCCCGGGGAAAAGGAGCCAAAAAAAAAAAAAAAAAAAAAAAAAAGGCGGCAGAAAACTGTTCAATTCAGTGTTGTTGGATATACTCTAAATGTAAATAAAGCAGAAATGGGATGAACATTTTGGCATGTGAGTTCCATGGTCTGTAATGCAGAGCTTCAGAACACTGGTTCTTCGGGAGTGGGGAATGTCTGCATTTGAGAAGTAGTTTGGTAGGCTAACAGGTGCCTTACATCATTTTAGTATCTTTTCAGTAGTTGGACACCTATGCTCTATCATTGGAAACACTATCATTCAAACCATGACTTGGATTTGTTACTACAAATACACATCATGCCAGCCTGCAGTTCTCCAATGCTGCTGTCAGACTTTTGAGACTCTGCTTCAACCTCGGTTACTTCAGAACAATAGTGCAAAGAAGACAGCCCTTTCAAAACTCCAGCGGGATTAACCTTGCTTTACAGGAAAACCACAATATTTCAGGAGCTCCCACTTTATCATCTACCAGTCTTTAGCATGTTAGATATTCAACAGATGGATGTTGGTTCGGTGTGCTCACTAGATGGGAACGTACTGGATGAAGCTGTGCCGGATGGAGCTGAGCTTTTTTCAACAGGTGAACACTAAGTAGCAAACTGATCCAGCCCACACAGCTCCACGCCATGGTGCCTGCACAACCACTCACGACTGTGAGCACCACTGAGAAACGAACGACACTTGCTCTCCTGTGGAAGGCTCCAGCCTCACCCTGACGCTTGTTTTACAGCAGAGTAAGGGAAGGTTAAGCAAGTCTCACTTCATTACTTAATGAAGGGATCAGAAATGGCAAAGGTGGGCATCACTTATGTATGTGAGGGGCACAGTGAAGAAACTTCCCACATGACCTCTCCATGGTAAGGTTAAAGTTTTTATTGTCTATATGGGAGAGAACAGCCAGAGGCATCTGGAAGAATCCAGAGCAAAGAGAGAAAGTAGGCTGAAAATGGCCAGCAGACTGGACAAGGCCAGGGCTATCTGTGAGAGAGGAGACTAGAAGGGGATACAGAATAGAGACAGCACAGTGAGAGCTGCAGGGCAGGGGAAACCTTGCTATTATGAAAGGAACAGAGGGAAGCCTGGGGAGGCGGCGTGCTGGCGCGGACTCTGGAATGTGTAACAGGTTCCTGTGATACTCAGGGGACTATGTGATACTCACACGCACTGTGATGTGCAACAACAGGCAGTCATTTGCCCTTCTGCCAGAGGTACGGGAAATGGCTCCTTCTGTGAAATGGAGCCCAGTTTCATAAGTTACTGAGGATGCTAGCTTTTCTCTAACCATCAGATGTCACAGTCCAGCTTGAGCTCATTTCTGGATATGCGGGCTGTGTTTATAGAGTTTGGGGAGCTGGAGTTTTCTTTGGACTGAAAACTTGTTCTTAGAGAGTGACAGCTCTATGCATAAGTGCTGTTTGCCGGGCTGCATAGCCCCTGTGGCCGCCCGCTGTAGCTGTGGGAGACTTAGTGGTGGCTTTAAGCTTGCAGGCTAACAAACACTGGAAAGCTCTGGGGATGGGCATTAAGAAGGCAAACTGCAATGAACGAGCCAGGAGCCTTTTGTAACAGATAATCTACCAGTCATGTCAGCTCCACAGACTGTGGAGAAAAGGAGACCAGTCGCTTTCCTTGGAAATGTGCCTCACAGGCCGCTGCAATCTTATAATGACCCTTATTTACAAGTATTCATTTTTATAGCTAATAAAAAAAATGAAGAACTCTCATTTCTTGCCAGTGTTTTTCCTTTCCTTTCAGGGGAAAAAAAAATGAATACACCCTCTTGCAACTCCATTAGCAAGGAGGCTGGCCGGCTCTCTAGGATATCCCTACCCTTTGCCAGAAGCTATGAATGTATACTCTAAAGTAAACAATGGAAAGGTTACTGAAGGTTAAATACATTCACACACTTCAGATGGGAACAGCCAGGCTCCTGGCTGAGAAGATAATTTACACAGCATGAACCTGGTGCCCTGGTTCTGTCGGGAGGGGTGTGGGTAACAGGGTGAGAACAGCTGATGTGTCCCAGGTCTAGTGACTAGAGGTCAACCAGAGGTCACCTTTGTTTATACTGCAGCCCCTTTCTCATTTATCTTCCTCTGAGGATTCCCTAGTTGGAACCATGACAGGTTTTGTGACATCACTTGTCAGCTAATAATAGAAATGCAGTCAGCCACCTGCCAGCAAAGATGGATGGGTTTTGGGTTACAAACTTCCTAGCTGAATGGAGGTTTCTCCACAGCTCCATTTCCCCAGGTCTGCTGGGGACACCTGCTGTTGACTAAACTTCTCCACCAACCAGGGCAAGTTCAGTGTCAGGATCCCGCTGGCACCTTCGGGAGGCAGACTACATGCTTTGGCCCTGACAGGTGATGGGGTGCATCTGTCTGCAGAGTGCCTGTCTGAAGGATGTAGCTGCTGGGATGAAGGGAGACAGGTCTCCAAGGCGGAACTCAGCTTTAGATTGATGAAGTCACAGCAAGTCAGAGCTGGCCAGAAACCCAAGATGTGGAACCCTCTCAGAACAGAGACACATGACTTAGGAACACTTGATTTGGTGAAGGCTAGGAAAGCAATCTAGAATAATTAGAAACATTTTGGTTTAGTCTGCCTGGATGTGCTGGTAAGAAAGGTTTAACTGAAAATTAACTTCAATAGTTATATGTTAAAAGATACAGAAATTGTGGTACATTTACACAATGGAATACTACTCAGCAATTAAAAACAAGGAAATCATGAAATTTGCAGGCAAATGGTGGGATCTAGAAAAGATCATCTTGAGTGAGGTATCCCAGAAGCAGAAAGACACACATGGTATATACTCACTTACAAGTGGATATTAAACCTATAATATAGGATAAACATACTAAAATCTATACACCTAGAGAAGCTACACAAGAAGGAAGACCCCCTGGGTAAGATGATCAATTCTCACTTAGAAAGACAAACGGGATGGACGTCGGAAGAAGGAGAAAACAGAGAACAGGACAGGAGCCTACCACAGGGGGCCTCTGAAAGACTCTACCCAGCAGTGTATCAAAGCAGATGCTGAGACTCATAGCCAAACTTTGGGCAGAGTGCAGGGAATCTTATGAAAGAAGGGAAGTTAGTAGACCTGGAGAGGACAGGAGCTCCACAAGGAGAGCAACAGAACCAAAATATCTGGGCACAGGGGCCTTTTCTGAGACTGATACTCCAACCAAGGACCATGCATGGAGATAACCTATAACCCCTGCTCAGATGTAGCCCATGGCAGTCCAGTGTCCAAGTGGGTTCCCTAGTAAGGGGAACAGGGGCTGCCTCTGACATGAACTCAGTGGCTGGCTCTTTGTCGTTCCCCCCCCCCCTTCCAGGGAGGAGTAGCCTTGCCAGGCCACAGAGGAGGACACTGCAGCCAGTCCTGATGAGACTTGATAAGCTATGGTCAGATGGAAGGGGAGGAGTACCTCCCCTATCAGTGGACTTGGAGAGGGACATGGGAAGAGATGAGGGAAGGAGGGTGGGATTGGGAGGGAATAAGGGAGGGGGCTACAGCTGGGACACAAAACGAATAAAATGTAATTAATATAAAAAATAAAAAATTAATTATTAAAAAAGAAAGAGAGAGACCAAGAAAAGAAACTCTTGAGAAACTTTCTTCAACGATCGGATGAAGGTCTTGGGCAAGGTCTTGGGCCGGGGAGACCATCTGGTGCATGGCAGGCTGTGGCACAAACCTGGCTGTGGGCTTCACGGATACTGCTGCCCCTGACGGGCTCTGTGTGGTACACAGCGCACTGCACCGTGTTCTCTGGGATGGACACTGACTTCATAGTCCACACCAGGAAGCTGTGCTTCTACTGTCCCCACATCGCAGCAGGACCCGGCTCTATCTGACCAAGAAGTGTAAGTGGGAGCCACACTTCTCTGTGCAGTTAAAATGATAACGTTGCCATAAACGCAGCTGTTTTAAACTAAGGAGAGGAAAGTGCTGGCTGTTCAGGGAACAGGTCTCCACTTTCTACAGGATCTGTACCTCGGCAGGGCTTCCTGTACGAAGGCTGAGGCATGCTGGGAGAGCTATTCTCCACACACAAGTGCAGGCCATTCAGGGACACAAGTTCTTTCCTGACAAATAAAATGCATCTTCAGATCTTTGCAGACGTCATTGCTTTGGACCCTGCACCCCACTGGGGTTTTATTTTGGAAAAATGGTTTCAGAGCCGTTCATAGGCAGCTTCTTTCACTCTGTGAACTGAATGTAACGTTGTGTGGTTTTTAAAATTAGGCTGTCTAGTGCTCAGGTACACCCTGAATGGCGGAGTCTGGGTTCATTAAAGGTGAGGCTGTGAAGGAGGGTTTTCTCTTCTTAGAACTGGACCTACATCCAAGGATGGTCACGGCTAGCTACATTTATTTGAGACCTCATGACTGCCAACAGCTGCAGCTTTGCAATGCTGACAGTGGCCAGAGAACCATTAGAAGTGAACAGAATTCTCTGACTTCCAGATGTCAACACGTGCCTCTTTCAAAGGCATTTCAATCTAGGTTGAGGCACCAGTGGATTCTGTGAACAACATAAGGCCAAACATTCCAAAACAAGCCTCTTGTACCCTCACTAGGTAGCTGCGGCTTCTCAGGAGTTTATCTGCCTTTATTTCTCTCGGGGACATAAAGTGCACCTGTATCCAGGGCTGATGCCAAGATAAAATAAGCATACAGAAGTTGCCTGGCACACTATATGCTCAAGAAACAGGAGCTTTTAGTTAGATCCAGAGCAGGCCATGGACTCATCAGTGTACCAGTCTCCATCTTGAACTGCAACAGTGGCAGTGCTGAAGGCAACTAGCTGGAAGTGTGATCCCGTCACACCAGTGACCAGAGACACCAGGAATGCTGGGATTTATCTGTGGGAAGCCACCACTCAGAAACAAGCAAGGGGCCATTTTTTCCCCATCTCACAGTATTCGGTAATTTCACACTTGAAAGTCAAATCAGGGACAAAGGCCAGATGGAGAGCTGCAAAGAGTGAACCGTATCCAACAGTGTGGACGAGGGGCAGGAAGGAACTGCCTGTACACCTGCTCCTCACAATGGTATGAGAGGCCCTTTTCTGTGGCACTGGCAGGGATTCCCTCCCAGTGAGAACTCGCTGGACAGGAAACAGCAGAACCTAAGTCCAGATTTTTTTTTTTTTTAAGTACAAACTGGAGAGGCCAGACGGAAAAGGCAGAAAGGTAGTACAAGCCAGTCATTGGGCCGGAAGGCAGCACCACCTGGACTGTAAAATGGCAGAATGGAGACTGGGTTCACAGGGATGTTTCCTCTGTCTGAATCCTTGCATCACAAACAAGGGTACACGGCTCAGGATTCTAAAGTCTACGCTGACAAAATGAGCAAAGGTAAGGATGCTGCCTTCAGAGTCTGATGTGAAGGGCAGCACCCCACATTTCATTCTTCTGTGCGCATGGCTGGGGAGGGAGCAGGCAGCAGAGGTCTGTTCCTCTCCCAGATCTGGAGCACTATCTGGCTCAGCCAGGTTCCTGGTTGGTCCTGCACAGGCCCAGTTGTAGCTCTGTCACTTACCAGGAGATGGCGGCTGGAGCTTGGGCTGCTTCTTTGCATCCCCGGTGCTGAAGACTTCTGGTGGGGGCTCCTCCCCACGCTCAATTTTGCACTCGAAGGCAAACAGGTACTGAATATACTGCTTTTTCAGGGAGCTGGCTGCGCTGCTTGAAGTGCCAACGTTTAGGTTGGTTGCCAGTTCACGCCACTTCTTGTTTTTATTAACCTAGAAAAAAAAGCGGGGTTGGGGGACAGGATGGTTGGTTCGCAGCAAAGTGGCTTGTTTAAAGCCAGGAGACAAACAAGCACTTAATGTCTTGACTTACTTTTTTCATTTGCCTCTTTTAACTAATGCTCATCACTTGGGCTCAGCAGCACACAGACAGCATTTACAGTTATAAAACCATTAAGGAACCTGCTGATGGCTACATAAAAGCCCGCTTGCTGGGGTCCTCTGCCTGCTACATCTACTAAAGACTTGAATAAGAGCTTCCAGATTTCTGAGCCTCAGGATGAATGGAGACCCCCCTAACCACGCATACTCCCATCCTTACCTAAACTCTAAGAGAAAAGGGTGCCTTAACCTAACAGTAACAAAGGGTGCCTTCACCTAACATAAAAACAGCACCATATTTACATGAAAAAAAAAAAAAAAAAGAAAAGACCATTCCCTTCCAACAGCCAGAGTATGTGCCCATGCTACTGCTCCCCTGGCTAGAGTGTGGGCGGCAGCTTAGCGGCTGGGCACCTTAGGCTGAAGACATCAGTACTCCAAGAGAGGATGAGGATGAGGGTAGGGTATGTGTATGTCCAAGACAGAGAGAGAGAAAGAGAGAGAGAGAGAGAGAGAGAGAGAGAGAGAGAGAGACACGAGGAGATAGATATGGGACTTTGTTTCAACTCTTTCATTCTACCTTGGTATGGGTTATGAAAGGTTAAAGTCATGAATAAAACATGAAGACACACAAATAACTCAGGGAAGATGGAAGCTTGTGCCTTTTGATGTGTGCTATGTTGAACAGCTTGCAGTGGTCATGAAATTATGAATTTCTGGATCCAAACTTTGGCACAAGGCTCTTTACATCCATTTACTTAGTCTAAATAGTCACAATAAGCATCCCGTTTGACTGCTCTGGGAAATGCCTCTTTCAGCACTTAATGGAAGAGGATGCAAACAGCAGCTTCAGAGATGGCAATTTTGCCGCTTGGCCAACCAGAGAGCCAAGCTCTGAGCTGTCAGGGTGGCCCCTGCTCACACATGTTGGTGGCAGCAGTGCTGTGAATGTGCCAGCCTGTACCAGTTAAGCTGCAGAGCTGCTTGTCTGCAGGTATAATCTGCTTCCACATACTGGCATGAGTCAGGCAGCCAGAGCCAGGCGCACCACCCAAGAAACAGGTTCTAGCGATTTGGTCTTGGTGGTCTGCAGTAGAGTTCAGCCTCGGAGAGATGAGCCGAGTAAGTGGGGCAGAGGCAGAGAGAGGGAGGGAGGTGGTCCACCCAGCATACGGGAGGTGGGATTCTACAGAGCTAGAAATAGGCTGTAAGGGATCTAGTCATAGGCCTCAGTCCTGCAGGGACGTAAAGGGAAGGCCATGAGCAAAAGGTCTGTCCTGCAAGCCCAGAACTACCTTACCGAGGCCTGGAAACCTCAGTGACTCTAGGGGTGACAGGTTACGTTGGTTGGGTGTTTGTTGTCTCGGTCCAAACGTCTACTAGACTTCTGGTGACCCAACCAGCTCCATAGCATTGATCTAGGGTGGGAATCTGGATGGTTAGTCTTTAAGACCGCCACAGGCTGTTCCTATTCATAGCAGGAGCCACAGCTCATGTCTGCCTCAGACAGGCCTGCGATTTACCCACCAGCACACTGGTGGTGACATGAGTCTCCGCATCAATTCGTGGGTTTAGTGATCTGTACCTTGTGAGTACACACAAATAAAAGGCATGGTGAAGTGAGGTACATGCCCAGTCCAACCAGACCCCTCACCAAAAATAATGAGCTGAACAAAGTAGAGTGCCGAGGATAGAAAATTTAGGCGACACGCTGACTGTCAGCAAGTAACGGTAGGTACCAGCAGACACAAAAACATGAGCAATGCCTTGACTTCTTTAACTAGGTGTGTCCTGCTCAGGAAGCGCCCCAGCCCTGCAGGCTACTACAATGTGAGTCCTGTAGCTCTCCAGGAGCTAGAGACATGCTTTACCCTTATGGCTGAATTTCTCTTCCTGTTTTCTTTTGAGACAGGGTGTTATATGGCTGAGGCTGGCTATGAACTCTTGATCCTCCTGTATGGAACTACAGGCAAGCCTCACTTTACTCAGTTTGAATTTTATAAGTTGCTCTGGATATGGAAAACTAGTGACTTTGATTTTTATCTGATCCTCATAATGAATTTAATCATTTCTAAAATACTCCTGGAGTATTTACCATGACTCAGTAGTAGATTCTGCAGAATTCTAGAGCTGCCTGGAAACAAAACAAAACAAAACAAAACAAAACAAAACAAAACAAAACAAAAAAAAACCTAATGGTTTAGTACAGATGAGGAAACTGAGGCCACAGGAGTTGGTAGCATCAGGAGTCCTAGCCCTCTCTGCCCACTATATAGTACTAGGAAGGTGATCTTCCTACAGGCATAGCTTTTCCTCTGTGAAAAACCAAACCAAACCAAACCAAACCAAACCAAACCAAACCAAACCAAACCAAACCAAACCAAACCAAACCAAACCAAACCAAACCAAACCAAATACAACACCAAAGCCAAAGGCAACATGCCAACTGAGTCATATAGCCACAGGCCTGTCCACGACACTCACTCCTCACTCATGCTCACCTGGGCCAAGCCGCCAATCTCTTTGACACAGACATAGAGTCGGAACAGGTCCAGGGGCTTCTTGCCCACCGCAGGCAGACTGGACACCGGGGAGCCCCGCTCTTCCATGAACGTCAGGTAGCGGTCCACCCACAGCTTCCTCTCCGGCTCGTTCCCCAGCTCATAGACCTTTGTGATCTTCTCCCCGGTGGTGGAGGATGAGCTAGACTTCTATGTGGCAGTGGGCATGAGGGGCAGGGATGGGGGGGGGGCGGAAAGGCCAGAGAAGAGCAGTGAGCTGATAAGAAAACAGGTTCAAAAACTACTGCTATCACACAACAGCTACGAATACTGGCTTCTAGCTCAGGCATAAATGATACATTTTCTTAAGTAACATACTTTGACTTTAAAGAAAAGGGCCCAAACTCTTAATTTTAACACCTAAAACAAACACTTTGATAGAATCACTGAATCCCAGAAGGCAAGATTCCAATGAAGTCTCATGTGCTCTTGAAAAAAAATAAAAGGCTGGCAGCCAGAGAATGAACGTGGTCAAGTTTCTCATGTCTAATGCCACAGTCTCCCACCCCACCCCAGTAAATAGGTTCCTAGTTCTTTTTTTCCCCCTCAAAATAAGAATGATTAATATGTGTCCACATGAAAACTAAGTCACATGGTAAACAGACACCCGGAGCTTGCTGCCGAGTGTGCGGGAGGACAGACACCGAGGGCAGGAGGCTGTGTGCCTCCAAGCCATGGAGTTGGTAGCCACCAGGCAGCTAAAGCTGTGGCATGCAACAGCCAGCTTTCCCTACCTAAAGTGTCTGAGCTCCTCAGTGCGACCGAGGCGCATCCTGTCCCCCAGTGTGGCAGCCCCCCTCTATGGCCATTCTGCCTGTAATGGCAGTCCTTTAGCTTCAGGGTCCCTGAGGCGGGAAAATATGTACATAACGTACATAAACATGGGCGACCTGGGCCCCTGACTCAACTCCCAGCTCCTTAAGGCTGAGGCAGGAGGATCACAAGCTTGAGGCTGGACTGGACAGTTTACAGAGTCCCTGTCTCAAATTAGAAAAGAACAAGGCAGGAAAGGGCGTGTGACAGAACTCTGTGACAGTACATGGAAGGTCTAAATTCAGTCCCCAGCACCCAGGGCAGGGAGGGGCGGTAACAGGGGGAGGATGGTTAAGTGTGATCTTTAAGGCTTAACTTCAGAACTAGACTTAAACTTCAAGCCATTCAGCAATTACTTTAGATAAGACCATACTTGTGTGTGTGTGTGTGTGTGTGTGTGTGTGTGTGTGTGCATATAGATGTCTTCAGAGTCCAGAAGAGGGCTATCAATCACCGGGAACTGGAGTTATAGGCAGCTGTGAGGCATACAACATGGCTGTTGGGAATAGAAACTGGGACCTTGGCAAGCGGAGCAGCTAAGCCTGCTGCCCAGCTCGCAGATGTAATCTTCACATCTTCCCCAAAGGGTTTCTACAGCTCTACCACTGCAGGTAAAGCATTCCACACAGCTGAAGTAGGTGGGGACTGTGTGACAATCTCTAGAAGGCTGGCTGGATAATCTATACCAGAGCTCAATTGTACTCCGTCACAGGCTGGGTCGCTCCACACAGTACTGTTTACAGTGTGCGAAGCTCTGCTCTGCAGCGGACTGACAACGCTCTCCCACCTACACTTTAAGCTTGTTGGTTCTGATTCTGCTCACTCAGCGCAGTGTCCTTCACACCAACGCTCTTAGATGTGTTCTGTGAATGCTAGAGCATACAAAAAAAATGTGTGAAAAGTCTGATCGTCTCAGGTAAGAATTAGCAAAAGACTTGAATATCCTGTGCATAGGACAGAAGGGCAAAATGTGATGTGAATGAATGGTCATAGTGAGACTACAGCTGAGAGAGCAGCAGGGGACATGTCCCTGGCCCAAGGCTTGCTCGTAAGCCAAATCCGTGTCCTGAAGAGAACAAGGAGAGCAGAGACACGCAGAGCAGAGCAGCGAGCACGCATGCTTACAGTTGCCTAGACACTGACTGGATGGACCCTCTGGGGAAGTTTTTCTTTTCCTTTTAGATCTATTTTTATTTTTATTTTTTAAGTATGTGGACTTTGCCTGCATGAATGTGTATCATGTGTGTGCAGAGCCCACGGGCGGCAGAAGAGGGTGCTCAATCCTCTGGAATTGGAGTTACAATGGTGTTTAGCCACCACTGGGTGCTGGGGACTGAACCTAGGTCCTTTGCAGGAGCAGCCAGTGCTCTAACAACTTAGCCAGCTCTCCAGGCCCCATTTGAGGATGGCCTTAGTGAGACACTGCCCGCCATAGCAGGAAAGGCCTTCAGGAAGTCCCGCTAACTTCTGCAGGCATCCAAGGGCCACTTGGAACTGCTTATGTGCTGTGAACATTGTATCCATGGTTCTGAAACCACTGGGAAGGGAAAAAAGAAAAAGAGAAAAAGAACAGACCCTGCTGAGAATTACAGCAAGATATTCTTATGGTGCCACAAGTGTTTTCCTTGCATATAGTTTAATTAAGCTAAAATGCATATTTCCTCAAGGCTCTGAGGCAGATTTCCATTTCAGCAGTCTTTACCATATGCTTGGTTCTATGTATATGTGTATGGACAAATGTTTATATTTTAGAATGTTTCCTAACAAAGCAGTGTCGGCCCATAGTACGCCGTCAAAGCAACCACAACAGCTCTGTTGTTTTGCCCAGTTCATGCCTGCTGCTAGGAAAGCTTTATTGGGGACCCTATTAAGAGCAATTTCAAGCACAGATTGAAGTGGCATCGCAGAAGGAGCAGTTAGATATTCCTGAATCGGGTTCCTCTGCAGCGATCTAAAGCAACAATGGTCTTTCGCTGTGCTCTGCGTCAGGCCCCTTCCTGAATAACTACCTTGTTCAGGGCAGGAGCACAGAGCGAAGCACACAGCAAGAGCCTAGCATTTTCCATGCAGCAAACACAGCCTTTCCCACCCTTGTTTAGCAATGCTTGTGCATTCTTAAACACAAACAATTTGTGCTTTACAAATAGATAATATATGTGGCAATATTAAAAAAAAAAAAAGAAAGAAAAACATGCAGAAGCAGAAAGACACACATGGTGTATACTCACTTATAAGTGGATATGACATATAATATAGGATAATCATACTAAAATCTGTACACCTAAAGAAGCCAAGACCCTGGGTAAGATGATCAATTATCATTCAGAAAGGCAAATGGGATGGACATCGAAGAGGGAGAAAGCAGGGAACAGGACAGGAGCCTACCACAGAGGGTCTCTGAAAGACTCTAGCCTGCAGGGTATCAAAGCAGAGGCTGAGACTCATAGCCAAACTTTGGGCAGAGTGCAGGGAATCTTATGAAAGAAGGGGGAGATAGAAAGACCGGGAGGGGACAGGAGCTCCACAAGGAGAGAATGAAAAAATCTGGGCCCAGGGGTCTTTTCTGAGACTGATACTCCAACCAAGGACCATGCATGGAGATAACCTAGAACCACTGTACAGATGTAGCCCATGGCAGCTCAGTGTCCAAGTGGGTTCCCTAGTAAGGGAAACAGGGGCTGTCTCTGACATGAACTCAGTGGCCTGCTCTTTGATAACCTCCCCCTGAGAGGGGTGCAGCCTTACCAGGCCACAATGCAACAACTCCTGATGAGATCTGATAGACTAGGATCAGATGGAAGAGGAGGAGGACCTCCCCCATCAGTGGACTGGGGGAGGGGCATGGGTAGAGAAGAGGGACGGTGGGAATGGAATGGGACTACAGCTGAGATACAAACTAAATAAACTGCAATTAATAAGAAAAAAATTAAAAAAGAAATACACTAAACTTCAAGTGTAATGATCAGAAAATGGAGTTAACACCCAAGTTTGCTTTTCTATTACATTTAAATAAAATTGAATTTTTATTTATTTATATTTTTTTGGAGGTAGGGTCTTGCTATGTAGCCCAAGTGATAGTCAAACACGATTCCTAGTCTGGGACTATAGGCATGTGCCACTGTATCCAGCTAGAAAGTAGAATTTTGGTAAGAGTTTTGCACAGGCCTCGCTGGCTGAGGACAGGGCGAGTGGGAAGCTAGAACACAGCTCCCATCTCGGTCATCTGTAATTTCAGGGCCAACAATGAATGTTACGTCATGCTTCACAGTCTATTAGTGGTCTTTGTTTTTAGAAATTATTCTCAATTATTATCTTAAGTTTTAAAGATTACCATTTTCTTGAACTGAGCCAATATGTAAATGGTTTTGCAAATATATTTCAATTTTTCATTCACTTAGCATTACTAATTTATATCCATTTTCCTGTTACAAAGAGAAAGGAAGGAAGACAGAAAGGAAAAAAGAACAGAACAAAACAAAATAGGGCAGGTTTTCAGAAAAAAGCCCACACAATACTGGCAGGATCCTGAGAGCCAAAGCATATCACACGCTAGCACATAAAACAAGGCAGTCTGTGCTCTCCTGTTCTGATTTGGCTGGAGTTGCTCACTTCTCAGCCTGGCTAGCTCAAGCCCGGAGCACACCTACAGGGAAGGGAACACCCACAGCACCCTCCACAAACATTTGCTACACCGGCAGCCCTTCAACACACCAGGCTCTCTCTGTCTAACCCAGCGAATGGGTGATAACTGGCAGTCTCCTTGTGGGTTTTGACTAAGTTGCCAGATCCTGTATAGCCAGGGGGTTCCTCCCTCCAACTCTTCCTAAGTTGGGTTCTTTAATACACTGTCTTATAGAAATCAGCGTGTTTCTTGGCAACTAATTGCATGTTAGACTTTAAATTTTTTTTTAAGATCTTTGATTCCCTATATGAATATAAAGTAAAAAGGTTACTATAACGCATTCCTTTATTGGTGCAGAATAATTGTTTAGGAAGAATAAAGGCCCAGGCTGGTGGTCAAAGGAGCATTTCCTGGTAGGGACACAGCACTGTTGCCATTTACACACTCACCTTGAGATGGCCGGCACTCTGTGCAGGATGCCTCTCACCCCTCTCAGTGCCTCTGATGCAGGCACACATTCTTAGTCCAAAAATCCACACGCACTAACATTTCTATGCATTTGTCAGTTTCAGACACATGACTTACAAATGAAACAGGGCTGCTGTTATGATACACTGTACCCAGTTGCACTATTTATTCATGTATTGCAGGTAAGCATCTTTGGAATGATGTTTTAGGGATAACAGTCTGTGACAGAATTAAACTGGAAGCCAAATATGTCATGTATCTCGTGGCTGCTGTTAAGGTTCCATGTAAATGGCAGCAACTGGTTTTAGAGGAAGCCTCCATGGCGTGCAGCTGCACTCCTGGTGGAGGAGCCTGGGCCTCCCAAAACATCAGCACATGTCCATGTGGAGGGGGGTCCTCACCCCAGAGCAGCTGCTAACGTTGCCAGAAAGATCTACGTCATCCACACATTTGCTTTGTTCCTAATGTAATTACTTATACAGAAAAGTCTTTTCATGGATCAACAATGAAGAATCATATAAAGCAAACCAGTAAGCTTTAAGGAATAATTAATTAACTACCCTCCCCAAACCCCCAAAACAATTACAAAAGAGACAAACAACCAGGACCACTTACAGGACTTGATGGAGTCTTGGGCCAGCCTGGGCTGCTGATGCTATCGCTCTCATCGCCATGAAAGGAGGAGATGCTGGCAGAGCTGGGGGACATTGGGGAAGGGACTGGCAGGTTGCCTGGAGTTGGGGGCTGAGAAATACCCTGAGAGCTGTAGCTATCCTGTGGAGAAATAAGAAAAAAGTGACAAAGGCACAACAAATGTTATTCAAAACAAAAGTACATCCAGTTTAACAGACTGTATGTATGTATCACAAATGTATATGTAAAGACATGTACAAACACACACAAAAACACACACATAGCAAAGTACTAAAACCTTATTAGCAGGATGCTGGAAAGGCCATAATGCCAGCATGCTTACTTAAGCTGAGATGAAAGGCTAAGCATGGGCTACCCATTACGCAAGAAAGTAAAGACAAGAAGAGAGCTGTCCAGCTTATTTATGGAATAAGGCCGGGGATCAAAATAAGTACGCTGTTACTGAGATGACCAAGACAGGAAGCGCCAAACTAAAGGCAGAGAAAATGACTGCAAGAGTCCACACCAGGCAAGATGGATTTCTTGCTTCCCCCAACAGCATCTCTCAGGTTGGTTCTGTCCTCCTACCCCTCCCCTATTGTGATTTAATGTCATAAGAACTAGTAACTTTCATATTTATGCCATGGGGTGGTGGGGACAAAAAAGAGTGCAGGCATGTGGCACATGAGAGCATACAGAGAGGAGGCAGTGCTACAGCACCGGGCAGAGGACAGCAGGAAGCCATGCAGGCTGTGACCACAGCATGACGGGAGGACTGTGACATGCAGGAAGGAGGTACCTTTGACTTGCTCTCAGGCTGCGGCACGCCTTCTTCTTTACCATCTGCTTTGAGAGGCACGGAGAGTTTGGATTCACTGGGAGACATCATATCTGCAAGACCCATAGATGCTAATGGGAAACAGGAGAAAGCAGGGTTACTCATGGGGCATAACCTGGCACTGCTCACATGAGCTAGGGAGTGAAGCGCCTGGCACTCAAGCTTCCCTTGATGGACAGAAAGGGGCAAAAACAGTCACGGGATCCTGAAGCACACTTATGTCTGAAACACTTTTTGCTGGCGGCGGCAGCGGCTGGGAGTGAGGGATGCAGACATGGATGATGACCCTTGACTTCTGTATGCTCAAGATCCCCAAACACTGAGACAATTTAGACTATGTTTCCTTTCTCACAGCTCAAGGACTGGCTGCATTGTCTTCCTCTGTGGCCTGGTAAGGCTGCACCACCCCCTTGAGGTGATCAAAGAACAGGCCAATCAGTTTATGTCCCTGTTCCCATTATTATGGGACCCACTTGTAGCTATGGGCTACATCTGTGCAGGGGTTCTAGGTTATCTCCATGAATGGTCCTTGTTTGGAGTAACAGTCTCAGAAAAGACCCAAGGAAATCATGAAATTTGCAGGCAAATGGTGCGAAGTGGAAAAGATCATCCTGAGTGAGGTATCCCAGAGCAGAAAGGCACACAGGGTATATACTCACTCATAAGTGGATATTAGACATATAATATAGGATAAACATACTAAAATCTGGACACCTAAGGAAGCTAATCAAGAAGGAGGACCCAGGATAAGATGATCAATCCCCATTCAGAAAGGCAAAGGAGATGGACATCAAAAGAGGGAGAAAAGAGGATACAGGACAGGGGCCTCCCACAGAAGGCCTCTGAAAGGCTATCTACCCTATAGGGTATCAGAGCATCAAGGCTCATAGCCAAACACTGGGTGGAGTGCAGGGAATCTTGTGAAAGAAAGGGGGATAGTAAGACCTGGAGAGGACAGGAGCTCCACAAGGAGAGCAACAGAACGATCGCTGCTTTTGATGCAACCTGCACTCCTATCTTCAGCTGAGAAAGGCCGCCAGCTCCACCTAGGCCCTGCTAAAAGCTCAGCGAACAACTGACTCATGCATGCTCACTGTAGTAAGGACCACTGCGGGCTGTCAGTGCAGTGACCCAGGGAACAAGCTGCATTTCCACGGTGCCCACAGCAGAGCCACCTGCACATCCCTGAGTCAGAGGAGCTGCGACTAAGGTGCCAAACAGATGGGCAAAGAACATGAGGAAACTGAGGCAGCCATCTGCACTTGCTCCCTATCAGGATGACAGCAACCTTAAATTTCGTCAACAGGCCCTGCTTCAGCTGCTGCAGTGGCAAGCGTGATTCAGACAGGCAGGGCATAAGGAGCACGGTGTACTAGAAAAAAAGGAGAAGCAAACCCACTTTAAAAAGGCCCTGCAGATCGCCACCACACAAGATCACTGCACATATCCATGTAGTACTATGTTTTAGAAAATAATTAGCTTTAATTACAGCAGCGAGAGAGTGAGCAGCTCTGGTGACCTAGCTGGCAAGCTCCACGGTGCTAATTTGTTAATATCGTTAGGATCACTGAAGGTTTAGACCATAGGTCCTGCCAAAAACGCCTGTCCCTCCACGCGCCCTGGAGTTTGCATCAGCACAGTCAACACCGCACTCTGAAACCCCGTGTTTCCACAGGAATGCTGGCTGGGTTTGCAAAGCCCATTTGCAGCGCAGTCAGTCCTTAAAGGCATCGTAACACACACAAATCCTAATTGAGATGGTTTTCTTTCTTTCTTTCTTCTTTCTTTCTTTCTTTCTTTCTTTCTTTCTTTCTTTCTTTCTTTTTCAAATTACTTTCAATACTTAGACTTTAAGAACTGGAACAAAAAGCTTTTTCAAGTGATGCAGCTGCAGAGAAAAAAAAATCTATTGGGATCAGCTAAAAATGTGTTATTTCTGTGAATGTGTGAAACCTAAAAAAAAAAAAAAAGCAGCTGAGTGATATTACAGCAGAGGATCGCCTCGTTCAGCAGCGACTGCTTTCCTGTGGCTTCTCTGCAGGGCCCAACGAGGGAGGAATTAGTGAGCCTGGACACTTAGAGGAAGAAAGAAAAGCAGTGCAGGACGACAGGGGCCTGCTCGTGAACGTCAGCATGGCCTTATACGGCCTTGCTCTTCTGCGGGGCTGCTCTCGGAGCCATGGAAGCCAGGGCAATTTAGAGATGGAAGGTCACAATCCATCGCTCTGCCAACCCTGCTGCTCCAGAGGTGGCAGCAGGCTGTTGAAGGAATAGTAATATATCTCATGCACTTCACACATTAATGTACACAAAAGTAACTTTAAGCAGAAAGAACTAAGCCAACTGCCCTACAATCGTCAGCGGGAATTCACACTGATTCCATAATGAATATAAGCATATGTGACAGCTGAAACGCCCCAAATTCCTTCATTCCCTATTATATATTTAACCTGGGCACCCTGGATATGTAAATGTGCTTGCACTGTCCTGTCACTCTAATAAGAGACAGGAATGGAGGGACATGAAGCCCAACGTACAATCTTTTATTATATGATCGCACGTCTTTCCCACTGTGGTTTTTCTTTTTATGGAAATGCTGAGTTTTAACTTGACCAAAATTTCAAAGAATCATTGCACAGTGCCATATATCTGCATCCCTCCAGAGCAGTGTTTCTCAGGGGCACTATGTTTTCCTCTTTCCTCGGGAAAGAGACCAGACCACTGTCGGGATGCTTTACACCCAGAACTGCTGTTTCTCTAGTTCCCAGAGATCCAGGGTGTAAGGTTCGGGTGGGATCCGCCTCAACAGCAGGGGTTGCCTGAGTGATGTAAAATGTAATGTTTTAAGCATAGCCTCTGCTCCACCACTGGAATTTAAGAGCTAACATGACTTCTGAAAGCTACCCGGGGTCAAGGTCCTAAGGCAGCTGGATTTGATACATGCCCTAGAACACATGGAACATAGGACTTGAGTGAAGCCAACCTGCTTCCTCCCAGCTTCTCTCTCAGTTCTTTGCAAGGCTGCAACAATTCCCAGAAGGCAGTGAGACATACAATGCTCTTTTCATGTCTTGGTAATATCCCATATTTTAGAGATATTTTGTCATTCGCTAACACACCAAGGGCCTACAATATTCATGAACTGGTTGTTAGCCCCCCCCTTTTTTTTGCTATTCTCTTTCTGTGTAGCCTAGGCTGTCTTAGATCTCCAGGAAAACATTCTTCCTCACAACACTGGCAGGAAGACCTTTCCTCTCACCACAGCCTTCTGCAGGAGTGCCAGTGGACATGAGGAGGACACGACGTGCAGGTGTCAGTCTCTGAGTGGGCCTCTGAAGCCTGGCCTACCATAGAAGGTATACCTGTCTCCAGCCAGGATGAGCACAGGGAGCATGGCACACTGATATACTTTGGCATGACCTCAACATGCTTGTCTTCTAGCTTAAGAACTCTGGCTGTCACAAAGTATCAAGCCCCTAGGCTTGCTTGCTTCCTTGGTTTGCCCACCTTCTTTTTTTCTTGAAGGTGGAGGTGACTGCTCAAGCGACCACTGAGCAAAATACTCCCTTATCTTGTGGCTGTCATGCCTGTGAATCTGAGAATCACCCTAGGAGTTGGTTAATAACACAGTCTCCTGGACACACCCTCAGAATTCAGAGAGGCCCTGTAGCTGTCACAGGCACTCCAGACGCCCTGCTGCAGGCTGTCGTCAGGTAGTTCTGGGGTAGTGCAACTGGCCTTTTTTCTTTGTAAAGGGCTGCCAGAGCTGGTGCCCACTGTGTAGGTAGGAGAGCAATGGGGCACTTCACTTTTGGAATCAGAACCTGGCCGAGGCTCCTTGTGGGGAGGCTTCACTGTAGCGGTGGGTGGCTGGCTCTCCATCCCACAGGGCAGCATACTGGAAATGCCTGGTCTCCACAGAGCTGTCCTGCACAGGCAAACTTAGAGCTCCAGGTAGTAGGTTTTATTGTCACAGGAATGTAGACGTTTGCTTGAAGGTGAGGACTCATGAGCAGACAAGCACACAGTAAGTGTGCTACAAATGTAACAAAAAAGAAGTGGACCCAACTCACAAGACAGTTCTGGCATAGGACTCTACTGAACCTTAACTACAACTTGTACTTTTGCTCACAATATTAAGTGATTCTAGCTTTTAATCCAATTGGCTAAAAACAAATTTCAATCCTAAATGTGAAGAGACCATCAACATCCCATTGAATCCAAACTGCTCCGTCAGAGGGGACATCTCTGCTGCTTCCCATCTGACATGGGCTGGCAGGACACTTTCTGGGAAGAGATAGCTGCCACATTTATACTCAGACTGATTCCACTTAAGTAATTACTCGTCACTGAAGCCTGTGACAATATGAGTTCGCAGGTCTGTTTGCTCATTTATTTGGTGCTGTATACACTACTCTTTGGCTCGGTGAAAGGAATGCTGGGAAGTTAGGGATGTAGAGGGACCAAGAATGGAATCTCAGAAAGCCCCACTTCTGCCCCTGCCTACATCCCTGGCACCTTCCTTCCTCTGTAGGCACCGTGATGGAGGAATGCCTTGCCACTACCTGTGCTCCTTTATCTCCATGGTCCCAAGCCGCGTGGGTGGATGTTGCAATGAGCCACTCCTACCGTGTAAGGTGGCACCCAGCTCCAGGGAGCAGCACTGTTGATATCCTGTCATTCCTGTTCCTCTCAGAGATTACACATGCACAGGAGACTCACACAGACATGCTAACAGACATAGAAATGCTAGATGGTCAATAATCCTCAGTATGCTGAGGGATTACTTTCTCTCAGGTAGCATCCAACTTAATAATGTGGAAATAAAATCACATAAATGTGTAGAACAAAATTTGATAAATGTTTAAATTATTAAAAATTCAATATTTTGAAATGCACAATGCCATGAGAAATATACTATCATGCTATACAGAAAGCTGTAAGGATAAATGGCCTTTCACTGAACAGATTTCCTCTGCAGGAAGCAATGAATCGCTGAATTATCTGAATAATAAAATGAAACCCTTTCTGTGAATCCCCATAAAACTGGCTCTTTCTTAAGAATGCATACATCTTCTTAGCCAGGGCCATGTGCCATCTGTTTGTTATTAGCATTTTGGGGGCTCTGGGGTTTAGAGGATAAGGGAAGAATGAGTATCGCTAACAGTAGATAGAAATAGATTCCAGTTTCAGAAGTAATTTTATCTCAGGAAGCCAGACAGAACATGGGCCATCTCAACCCAGCCCCTCTAAGGCCTGGGTGGTACTGCAGAGAGGAGGTGGCTCCCAGCTGGCAGCTGCTGATCTGCATACTTCATTTCCCCCTGAGCCACCACCTGCTTAATGCTAGGAATGGGTATTTCAGGGACTGAAAACCCTATTTTGACCTACACGTTAGTCAGTGTTTTTTCTAAATGTACAGAGGCGTAATCAGGACGGCTGTTAAAGGAGCCCTAGAAGTGAGTGGCTCTGCTGCTCCTGCAGGTAAGGCGCCTGGCCCTCTCGGGCAGTTCCCTCTGACAGAGAGCTCCTGAGAGCAGTGTGGGCCTCTCTAGGACACACAGACATAGAGAGCATGGGCCAGCTGGAAAATGATGACCACAGGGAGCGAGGGCTCACGATGAGTTCCCGACATGTTCCGAAGCTTTGAATGACTCTCCATCTTTACATCAAGCCTCTGTGAAACAACGGACAACTCCACCCAAAGGGATGCTACCACTCAACGGAGTGCCAGATCCTCACTTCTGATGGTTCAAATCTCTGAGAAGCTCTGGATTTGACAAGGGCTGAAAGGCTGTAGACAACGCTCACAACTGGACAGGAAACCATAATGCACTCAACAGGTTTGATTTCGCAAGAAGGCAAGCATTAAGCTTAAGCAAGTTTTCTAAGGACTTTATCCCACCTGCACTGGGGCATCCGTCTTTTCAGGCCATTGGGGCACATTCACTATGCAACCTCAGGGGAGAGAGGAAGACAGAACAGGGTGACCATCAAAAGTAGGGGCACTGGTTACCTGTGGAGCTGTTCACCATTGTGGGTGTCATGCTGTAGGGCTGGGCCTGTGTGTTCATCAGGCCAGAGCTGTTGTTCATGGGCTGACTGTAGGGAGAGCTGGAGGCCATGAGTCCACTCTGGTTCATGCCAGGAAAACTGCCTTGCCTGCAGGGAGAGAACAGGCACACACACACTGAACACCCGGTCGGCTGCACCATGCCCCAGGCAGCCACCACAAGATGCTGGGGCAGACCTGGTATGTTTCAGAGAAGTTTAACTCCGCTGGTGGGTAAATATTCAATGTGCTATTCACAAGTTGTACAAATAAAGATACATTCATTGTTAATCATGTCAAGTGTTCTGAGTTATTATTCATAATGCCTAAGATAAACAGAAGCAGGAGTAAGGGACTTGAAATAAAAACAGGAATTACAAAAGCAAGCCAAATCAATGTCTATTTAAAAAAATGCTTTTTCCCCCCTTTATCCTTTTTGGCACCAGGGATCAAATCCTGGGCCATTCTGTCCCCTGCCCTGCTGCAGTTGCCTAGCCCAACGATCTAAGGCAGAGCTCTATCCCCAGTCCTGATGTTACATTAAGATTTATTTTGTGTGTGTGTGTTATGTGTGAGTGTGAGAGAAAGAGAGAGAAAGAGAGAGGATGAATATGAGGGTATAGGTGCCCATGGAGGCCTGGGACATTGGATCCCTGTGGAGTTGGAGTCACAGAGGTTGTGAGCTGCCGACATGGGTGTTGGGAGCTGTACCCGGGCCCTCTGTGCAAACACCATGTGCTCCTAACCACTGAGCCGCCTCTCCAGCCCTACTGCTTAACAGGCTCGGATAACTCATACTGCTGAGCATCCTCACATCAAAACCAGAAGTCAAGAAATGAGAAAAACAAAACAAAACAAAACAAAACAAAACTGGAGCAGTGTGAGGATGCTACTGAAACAATTCTTTCCCCAGATTTTCTGATATAACAGGTATGAGAGAGAGCCCTGCTTCCACCTCTTTCTTATTATTTAACTTTCTAAAATTAGGTCCTATTAAAAACACAGCATCTACACACGTGGTTGAAGGAAGTCGGCAGACTCCTGGGACTGGAGTCACAAGGAAGGAAAAGCTAAAGTGGCTTCAGTTCAGAGATACCATCTCTTAGGGACTCAGTTCCATGCCATGTTCACTAAGAAACACTCTTTTCACTCTTGGCTGTGTCAGTGAGATGGGGGAGGGGCTGTGCTAAGTGGCATGGAGCTGTGGTTTGCCCAGAGAGAACCCCACTTCAGCAGGGGGCCTGGCTCAGGTGTGATGAACCTTTATGTGGCTCTCCTAGCACAAGGTAAGCTTGCCTCACGTAAACAACACACCTTTCAAAAGCTTGTCCAAGCGCGCCTATGCTGCTGCCACTATTAGGACAGACACTGAGAAGAGGGCTAGCCTCAGTCTTCCCTTCCCTGCTCCAAACAACCTCCTATTCATTCTCTAAGCTACCCCTTAATGTATAGCTCTTAATGAACAGCAGTCAACATTTTTACAAGATTTAAGAGATTCACATAAATTAATGTTCAAAACTATTAAGAATATTCCTTCTGTGCATCAATTTCTAGCAGACTCAATTTTCTGGCTCATACAAGAAATTAAAATAGGATCTTTTTTTTTTAATGAAAGTATTTGTTTCTTCTTATAAACAGTACAAATGAGGAAAATTCTGAACCCATTCTCACGAGGGACTTGGGAAGACGTTCCTGAAAGGATGGTGTGCGCACGGCTCTGAGAGCCAATGCAAATAACCGCAAGTTGCTGACCAGTGTCAGAGCGCCGCCGTAGTGAGGACTGACCTCTAGGCTGCCAGGTGCTTGTAAGAGCCCTGTAAAGAGGCCAGAGCCACCTTCCCATGCTGCCTGGGTCTCAACGATGTTCTTACGCACCCAGCAGAGAGCACACTTTGCTCTGTGACAGGCACTGCTAACTATGGTCACCTTAAAGTGTCTACCACATTCGGTATCCCATAGTGTAGCACCTATGAAACTACTGGCTCCTGGGACACCTGCTCATATGAAGGCAGGAAGGAAAATGGGAATAGGACACTCGCCAGGAGGGTGACAAAGTACACCCGCCTCTGACCCTGATCTATGATCTCCTACCATTAGCAGTGCCTACCAATCACCACAAGACAATGAGGGCACGTTACAGAGAGACTTAAAGGAACAGAAAAAACGGACAAAGACTTAGCAGTCAGGGTAGATGTGAGTTGTCAGTTACCACGGTTCCCACACCTGTACTTTGAAGTATGGCTATAAACTCTGACATTAGCCATACTGCCCAGGGCCACTGGGGGTCCGGGAACAAATCACTCCTGTCACGAGGGCTTCAGTGTTTCTCTGTGAATGTGGAAGGGGTGTGCCATGGCGGACAGCAAGCATTCCTAACATTCAGCACTGACATGTCTGATGGGCCTTCTATGCACTTAGGTTTTTAAACTCCCAAGAAGGTGGGTAGAATTACGCTCATATGCATATTAGGATGAGGGTCAGAGGTAAAGTAACTTGCCTAAGGTCACCCAGCAGAAGTGGCAGGGACAGAGTCCACAGCTTCTCAGCCTGGTGTGCCACACTGGCTCTCTAACGTGGCTCAACGCCACTCACACGGGTAGCAGCCACTTTGTGGCACTTTTGGTCACCGATCTTAACTGAGAAAGCAACAAGCAGAAAAGCTCTTCTCTGGGCTTCTGAAGAACAGACTTGAGGAGGCCCCATCATGGGAGGGGTGCTGAAGATATGCCTCAAACAGCTTTCTGGATCCCTGTGTCTAAGGAGGAGGGGACTCAGTGTGGCAGGGGTCTTGGGCGTCCAGTGAGGAAACTGCAGAAAAAACAGAGCCTGTCTTCCCAGAAACACAGATATCTGTGTCTCCTTGTGTGTGTGAGTCCCCTCATCACTGCTGCAGGGATTCTCCCACGTCTGGCTGGGGACGCCGCCGGCAGTGCTAGGAACTGAAGCAGCGTGTGAAGGCAGCCTGTGGTGCACACTGTGGGGTTTGGTTCTTTAGTGTGCTGCTTCAGAATCACCAGAGCTTTACCTACACGGGGCCGGATGAAGATGAAACCTGTCATTCTATGACAAAACCTGGGTTCCTAAGAGGACAATTTATAAGAAGGCCAGAAGGTGCTGCCCTGAAGCACATAGTGCCCTTAGGGGCCTTCTGGACCATTGAATCCTTTACTAAGGTGACTTGCAAAAGGAAGTCAGCACCATCAGCTTTTCTCTGGAACTTTCCACTTAAGACATTACCCTTTTTTAAATTTATTTTTACTTTTTGTGTATGAGTGTTTTGCTTGCATGTTAGTATGTGTACCACGTGTGCCTGCTCAGAAGAGGGCATCAGATGCCCTGGAAATGGGAGTTATATAAGGTTGTGAGACACTTTGCGGGTACTGGGAACCAAACCCTGGTTCTTTGCAAGAAACAGTGGTCCTAACCACTGAGCAATCTCTCAGCCCCACCAGAAGACATTTTCAATGGAAGAATCTGATGGGATGCCATTTCAGTACCAGGGGGCTTTCTTGTGGGAGGATGGTCTCTGTTGTCTCAGCTTCAAGTGCAGTTTTAAGTGATTTGCTGCATCACCCCAGTTTTAGCCTCCAGGAAGCTCCTCTTTGTGGTCAGTTCTATGCAGCAGCTTTTGTAGCTGAGCTTTCTGAAAGTTACTTGTTGGAGCTGTATTGGGAATTTGAGCTAAGATGCTGCTGCTCGTGGGTTCTGTGGAGCTGTGGACGGCTGTGCCCCCAGGAATCCTACTGGTCTTGGCGTATACCATGAACAGGCCACGGCAGCTCCAGGATGACCCCCCACCGCCTCCTGTAACGCTGCTAGCAGATGCTGCTCTACAGCTGAGGACGGGGCTGGGAGCAGCATGCGCACAGATTTCAGGGGCAGTTCTTCATGGATGCACTTCTGTCCAGGAAGGCTCTGTTGGGAAGGCTTGGGGGCAGGGTGTGGACAACACCTGCGTTCCGGGGACTCAGAAGGCTAAGGCAAGAGGACCATGCGACCCAGCATACAGAGGTTAAGACCTTGTCTCTAAACACCAGAAACAGAAGGCTTTGGGATTAGGATTGTCATGGTCGCCCTACCTTGAAACAAAACTGGACATGATCCCTGTCCTTTCTAACAGGATGCTTCCAGCTGTTTCTTGGCACCTGGCTATGGGGGCTGCTGGTAAGCAATGTTGGCAGCAATGAAGGGAACATAATACCCACCTTCTGAGCCAGGTTATGAGTGGGGTACCCTCACAATCATTTCTGGAGTTTCTTATTTAAAAAACAAACAAGAACGTTGGCAATTTCTTTAGGATTACATACTACTCTGCTCACAGGGCCTGGCTTTGGAGGGAAAAGCAGAGGCAAACACTAATTTTAAAGTGACCATTTAACTGGTTTATGATTAAACCAATTTTAAGGCAAAATGGGGAATAAAGCCCTGCTGTGGTTTAAGTTCATGTTTAAAATCTTAGCATGAATTCCTACAGGAGACCTACATGGTTCCGAGTATCTGGCTTTCTAGCCAACCACAGTCAATGAGATTAAGTTCATGGTTTGAGGCTGCCAGAAAGGCAAAGCCTTGTTATTTTGGTGATTAACATTTGTTTTTTCCTTCAAGGGACGGGGAAAAGTGTGAGTGTATTTGAAGAGCAGGGACAGACAGAAGAATGCCCTGGGCACAGGACCCCCATGTGAATGAGGACCCTGAAGAGCCCAGCAGAGAACAGCTCCTACCCCATATGCAGAATGAATACAAAGCCATACTGCAATACGAGAGTGAGGGCCATACATATGTCACCTGCTCTGCAGGACTGCCAGGGAGGGTGGCAACACTGGGAAGCAATTAAGACGTTGTCCTGACGTCTAGCACTGACATTTAAGACACTCTACCTTCTGTGCTAGCAGTTAGAACTGGGCCTTGAAACCCTAACCAGCTGGGTTTATTTCTTCATATGCTTTGATTCTCAGGGAAGCCCCTCACTGAAAATGCTTTACACAAACCCTCCACACACCCGTCGTGCTTCGCTGGTAAAACAGATTTCAGGCAGAACTGCATGGGGACAGTTCCAAAACAGTACTGAGGAAAAAAAAAAAACAAAACCCACTGAACTAATGTTCATTCT